TTGTCTTCTTGTTTGCTATCTTTTTACAAATGAATATAAATATTTTCATGCTTGCATAATTGGTGCCAAGACAGGCAAAATTCTGTATGTTGCTTCCAAGGACTGTTACAAAAGTTGAGTGTACCAATCACCTTCTGCGAAATTACTGTACGCATTTGCGAGAACTGGCCAGTAAAAAAAAGTACTAAGGATATGCATGTAAAGCCCGAATTAAGGAAAATTTTATCATCGAGGATATTACAACTACAAATTGCCGTAAAATCAGCAATACTACATCACCAGGTTCAACAATTATTGGCTGACATCAAAAATTGTCCATACCATGTTTTTGGAAGACACAATAAATGTGCAGATTATTTTTGTAAAAGGAAAAAGCAGATAAGGATTATGTTAGAGAGATGGAAAGCTCTGGGTTAATGGAGGATATAGTTTCTGCTGGCAATAGATTGCTCCAGAATACCCAAAGTTTGATACTATTCATGAATAATAATGCAGCAGAAACTTATAATTCGGTAGTGGCTAAATTTGTTGGGGGAAAGAGGATAAATTTTGCTATTAAAGGAGGCTATGATGTAAGATGCAAAGCAGCAGCCGTATCGTACAACAAAAGGGAAAATTACATTGCCACTTTACATCAAACCATAACCGTTCAAGAACTTAGAAAACACTCATAGTCGTTCATCGCCAAATTAAAGAATAAAAAAAGCAAAAGAATTCTTAGAGGACCCCAGATTAAAAAAAAAGAGAACAATTGCCCCTGCTGATATGGAGTACGGAATGCCAGATAATGATATTCTAAATTTAGAAGAGAGAAAACAAAAGTTTTTGGACAGTTTACCAAATTCAAGAGCCGAAATATTAGAAATTGAAATTAAAACAAGAGGGCAAGCCAGGAACACCTGTTGTAGAGAATATGCTTACTGCTTGAAATTTCGGCACAATATGCAAATTAAAGAAAACCACAGACCCGAAGAAAACTGTTCATAGCATTTTGTTTTCTTCATTCACAAATTCCAAAGCAACAAATTGGGGCAAAGATCATGAAAGCCATGCCAAAGAAGCATTTAAAAAAAAAAATTCAAAATTTTTTAGATAAATAAACCACAATCTTTAACTTTTGTTAAAGATTGTGGTTTATTTATCTACGATAAACTTCCTTTTATGGGGGAAAGTCCGGATAGAGTAATAAACACGTCGGAAATAATTGAAATAAAGTGTCCTTTCTCATGTGCCACAATGACACCCGAAATGGGTGTTGCAGAAGGAAAAATTAAATATTTGGTAGAAAAACAGGGCACATACAGTTTAAAGAGAAACCATAATTATTTTTATCAGGTTCAAGGACAGCTGGCAATAACGGGAGCAGAGTGCTGTTTTTTTAATGTATGGACTCCATTAGGAATGATCACAGAAAAAATTCCACGCGTTGAGAAATTTTGGGAATCGATCGAACCAAAGTTAGAGGATTTTTATCTAAGATATATTTTCGAAGCAATTTTAAAAAATTCTTCCTAATTATTTTTCTGTTATTTGTTTTATTTATAGAAAATTGAAGACAGATTAAATAAACTGTACAAATTAAATGATTTTTTTAATTTTATAGCCAGTAAACTGTCAGTATTGTGATACAATGGAGGGTAAAATTAATTTGTCGGTAAAATTAATAATTTGTAACTTTTGCCATGTTAAACAACAAGCGACGTACACCCCAAAACAGTTTGTGTTGTGCCATGATCACTGACTGCGGGCAACAATATCCCCTCCTTGTCATCGAAAGGGCGTAGTTAAACAAGTACTCACGTCCAAATATAATTAACCATCTCATCTTTATTTTTCAGGATTCGTAGGTTAACTTATCGTATATCACAAAATAAGTAAGACAATAAAAATGTTTATTTTCTTAAAAATATTTATAGTGCCACTATTTTTAATAAGGCTTAGCAAGTCATATTATAATCTGGGACTCATAAAGTTTGGTGATCGACACCTACAGAAAGGTACTGAATCATATTCTTTTTGTCTGGTATTTGACTATGAGTTGAGCTATATTTTTAAGTTTGTTGTTACTCGTAAATTAAGGGACAAGGTAATTTTAAGAAAATGTTCCTTCTGGTCCTGTATATTCCATTAGGGCCATAATTTGTAAAAATTTGGACAATTGTTGTAGCCGAGTTCATTGAAACTCGAGTGGGCTACTGTATGGTAGGTTTTAAGTTAAAAAATGTTGAAACATTCAAAATTTTAAAAAATTTGTTACTGTCTCTATTGTACGAATTTGCATTAAAATCACCAAACAAAGAAAAAATATTAGCCACAAATTTAAAAACTTTACGTAAAACATGGTAAATACTTTTAAGAAAAACATTAGTCATTATCTGTTGGCGACCTGTAGTAGCTCAAAATAATTATAGCCTATCCCTATTTTACAAGAAATACCATAAATTTCACAATCTTGATCTACGCAAAATTTTTGATATCAGTATAGTTCAAATTATTTATGCCACCGTTAATTAAAATCTCCCTCTTTTGTCTTTTCGACAGTAACTACGTTGAAGAATAGAATTATTAAAATGAACTGAATTTTCAGAAAAATTCTTAAAACCTGCTGGTTCGGTCAAGCAATAAAATTAACATTGAATGTACATATTTATATAGATTTGGTTTCTTCCTCCGTAGGTATAAAAAACGTGTAATTATAGCTCTTTGAGGCCACATTATTAGATAAATTTTTTTTATTAGTGATTTTAACTTTAAATGATGAATAAATTGATGGTTTCATTGAATATCGCAAAATACAGCAACAATGTCAAATCCAGTACGATATAAAACTGTGTCACTTCTGGCATGCTTGTGCACCCAGTAACAACACTGCTTGCTTGTAAGCATATTTTGACAAATAAATATATAAAGGATGGGGCGTAATAACGACAAGTTCAAATTTGTCGCTGCTTGTGCGGTTTTCAATAATCTAAAATTCAGCATGGCCATTGTAATACTTACGTTTTATTTTCATATCCGGTAATCCAAAAAAAAAAATTCTAAAATGGTAAAAGAAAATAAAACACAAAATATTTGTTTAAAGTTTATTTAAAATTATTACATTTATAATAAAATGACGAGAACTGTTTCTATAGCCATTTAATGTGAATGAAATAAATCTGAAAATTTGTACACTAATATACAGATATACATCTACTTAAAATTATATTACACTTATTAACTAATAGTAGGTTTAATATCAAAATAAATTCGACAGAAATCTCCATTTGTCACATTCCTAAAAATCACTTACCAATTGGTTTTTTTTTTTTTTTTGAAAATAATACAGGAATGGTGACAAATTTGATTTCTAATAAAAATTGAGCGACTAGTATAATCACAAAACCTAAATAAAAATTGCAACTAAATTTTTAAGAAAAAAAAAAAAACATACATTTCAAATAATAGAGAATCAAATTTAAAATAATCGTTATAAAAAGGAAGTTTTCATTTTTGAAGTGATACATGTATGTATATTGAACAAAATATGGTTTGTATTTTTTTGAGATCTTGTTTTGTGTAAATAATGACAAAAATGTTTCTCCATCAATTGAAATGATGATATTTTTATTTAAATCACAATCACTTTAAAAAGCACTGTTTTTCATCAGTCTAATTAATAAATGTCCAATATAAAAGTGTCTATTTTTTATCGATCTAAATATTACTATGAATTTGTATAGAACTCGTTTTTTTTATATAAAAAAGTAGTACATTAGCTATTATTATCAGGAAAAATTATAAGTTCCATAATTTAAGATTATTATAATTTTTAAAATCGTCAGATATGATTTAAAAAGTTTAGAATCACGTGAAAATATTTCCGATATTTACAAAAAAAAAGGTGGAATGTATTATAGTTGCAAATTGTATCATAATATTAGTTGGTGTCCATAATAGGTTTCCGATCATTTTTCCTTGAGATTTACATTGTTTTGGTGGAATTAAAATCCTGTTTTTATAAGAATTTTAATTGTTAAATTTTTCATTTTAATACCGAAAATAAATAAGTCAGATTCAAGTAAATATTTATCATTAATTGTTTACAAGAAAATCCTTGTTTTATAAATATTATCATCTAATTAAAATGGTTCCTGCTTATTAATATTGACTTTGCTTATAACATGCTTTAATTGCGGCTTATTCGCCGTATTGACTGTCAATTCGACACGAGAATGACACCTACATACATAATCTATTCGACAAGAAAGATCAGAGAGGTAAGAGGAAAATGATATTAAAAATCATTTCTATGTACATGTTACATTAATAAAATAATTTTAACTAATATAAATAATAAAAAGTTTCTAAAATGTATATAAACAAAATCTGAATTTTAAATCGACTCTAAAATATAAATATAATCAGGTACTGTTCACAGGGACAAAAACATTATTTGAAACCGAGCGAATGATGTTCGTTTTTTAAAATCAGACTGACCGAAATTTATATTAAATAAGATATTTATGAAACCAATTGGGAAATATTACATTCCTAAAGTTTTACATATTGTCCTTCTGATTTTTATAAAAAAAATACTTTTTAAAATGACCAAAACATTAGGAATTTACCAAATTTTTAATAATTGTCGCCATAAAAAAAATCATTTTTACGTTTTATTCGAAATAAAGTTTCATTTGATCGCGATAAATGTTTTTGCCCCGGTACCCTGAACCTTTACACACATACAAGATACAGACATAGATCCATGAGTATTTGTTTTTTGTGTACTGATATGCAACACCAATAAATATGTTTTCAACATTTAAAATCACTGGTTAGGGTAAAAACGTTCACACCGCCGAGACTTGGGTCTCTTCGTCATCTGAGCCAAAAATAAAAAAAAACAACTATTACCACAAAAAGAATAAAAAGCAAGAAAATTGCTAAGAGATGTAGTTTGTACTTGTCAGTTGTGCTCGTCTCGTCAGAAAATCGTAGGTAGGTACCGTGCGATGATGTTAGACCATAATAATGACAGTGTCACATTCACTTGATGAATCAAATATGTCGTCACCTGAATAACAGTAATAAAAAATTTATACTGGGTTGAATCAAAGAAATTGCGCCTTAGCCATTTTTGGTTTAATATTTGGAATCAATTCTCAAATTTGTCTAATTTGATATAAAAGTTAAATTATATTTAATAATCTAAGGTTGTAATAGATACGGTAAAGAAGCGAAGGAATGTATTTTGGAGTGTGTAAATTTGATCAGTAGATATTCGTTAAGCCATTATAAAAGCACTGTAAATGTAAAAAAATACAAATGTAATCAAATCATTGATATAAATTTAGAGTTTCAACAGATTGTAAAACAAACGTTAATGATATTACAAAAAAAATATAAATTAACTTTTTATATGATTATCAGAAGCATAAGGATAGTTTCCTCCATTTCTTTTCTTTGTTATATTTAATGCTTCTTAATACTCGACGTATCTTTCTTTTAAACGTAAACGAATCGGTCATTTAAGAAACGACACATGTCATCTTTTGGCCATTTTGTTTGTATACTAAAAATACAATATTTATAAGTAAATACATCGATAACATCACTTGCCCGATATACATTCGTATGAGTTATGTGTCACTTAATATATACTGCGTTTAGAAACAACACAAGTCAGTGGACATATGCTCTTTCTAAATGCAATGTGCTGGTGTCAATTATTTAAAAATATGGCATCAACTATCAACTATTTTAATAAATAAAAAAAGGAAAAAGAACGTTACATAAGTGCGAAATAATAAAATATGCTAGAATAAAGGGAGATGAATATATAAATTACAAAGGCGCTGTAGTCTCCGCGAAAGAACAGGGTGAAAACTGCGGGTAAGTTATTATAAAAATTGTGAATTTAATATATCCTAGATCGCAAATCGAAATCCAAAAAATGAGAAATATCTGAAATAAGAATTTTAAAATTCGAAAACCAATCTCAACAATCCCCAAAGACGAAAAAATATTTTTAAATGTCTTCGCTGGGAATCGAACCCACATGTCCATGTTGGCCGGACATGTGCCCTAATCGTTGGAACATCAACGACAGTGACTAAACGGAAATTTGAAGTGCTAGTTTTGGCCAGACGGCGGCGTTCAGGGCACCTACCTCGACTAGTGCGTTTAAGCGCTCGCTTTGAAGAGATGCGAGTGGTTCAATGCGAAGACGCATTAGAAATCGTATTCTTAACCCTTCGTATCTGTGCCTTCGTAATCCTCTTTTATAAATGCGAATGGCAACTTGACAATCATGTATGATCGACAAACATTTATGTTAAATTATCTGCTAGAATGGGGAGTCAAAGTTCACACCGCTTGTTATTCGTAAAAAAAAAAATAGTAATAGTTTTGAGCTCGAAGTCGTAGTTTTGGGTTATGTTTTTTGATCTACTGTTTGGCTATACATAGTTTGCAGCGTTTTAAAATGGAAAATATTAGTAAACATACACATATAATTAAATTATAATTAACCGAAACAATCTGATGAATGCTTGATTAGAAAGTCTGAAAGGATCTTTCCTATGATCATAAACTCTTCGAGGAAGATTATTGGCCTCTTCTAATTCGTTTAGTAATAAGATATTTAAAAAATAAATTTCTATTTGTCGTCATACCTATAGGTCACAATCAATTTATGAAACAAAACGAAAACATTTTGGAATACAGAATCGTGCACCCAGTAGACCTTCGCAAGCTCTTTGGACCTTCGTATTTGAATGCGAAGAGCAAAGACCCACTCGCTGCCAAATGCGTACCCGCAATATAAATTAGAACGACCAAGAATAGCTATAACACGCATTTGAGCAAATGCGCATTCGCATTGAATAAAGCACCAGTCGAGGATAGGTGCCCAGGTTCGTTCTGAAATTTACAAGTATCTCTCTACAGCCTCGGTATATATGAGAAATGCCTTGATGCATACTAAGCCCATATCTTGTCTGCGTGGGTTAAGTTTTCAATGTAACTTAAGAGACGTAAACCTGAGTATGAAAATTGTGAATTTAATATATTTTAGATCGTAAATCAAAATCCGATAAGTCAGAAATACCTGAAATAAGTTGTAGAATAATTTGAAAATTCGAAAACAAATCTCAACAATCCCCCAACTTTTAAACGCTAAGTATTCAAAAGTATTTTTTTAACCATATTTTGAGACTTTCACTTTTTCTTATTTTTTGAAAAATGATCTACAAATGACATGTGCTGTTTCTCAAATGACCGATTCAAATGTGATATTATTTTCAAAGCTAATATACAGGGTGTTTCATAATATATGCGCAGGACTTCAGGACGTGATAGCTCGTCCAAAAATATGAAAAAACGTTTCTATTAACTTATCCTCTAAAATGCACCATTTTCGAGATACAGGGTGTTGAAATTGAAAAAAAAAAAAAAAATTACGCCACTGGAAAAAGTACGGTTTTGAGACGCCCATTTGAACCGCCAATGTTTTCTACACAAAAAAGGTACTCTTGGTCATACGCTCTAAAGTCGACCGTTTTCGAGAAAAATCAAATTTTGTTTCATCAAGTATGTATGACCATTTATTTCAACATTAAAATTTAATTTTTCTCGAAAACGTTCGACTTTAGAGCATATGACCAAGAGTACCTTTTTTGTGTAGAAAACATTGGCGGTTCAAATGGGCGTCTCAAAACCGTACTTTTTCTAGTGGCGTAGAAATTTTTTTTCAATTTCAACACCCTGTATCTCAAAAATGGTGCATTTTAGAGGGTAAGTTAATAAAAACGTTTTTTCATATTTTTGGACGAGTTATCACGTCCTGAAGTCCTGCGCATATATTATGAAACACCCTGTACATCATGAATGTCAATTTCAATGATGAAAATACAATGGTATTGTATGTTCCAAAGAAGCTTTCTCAAAACAAGCCAAGTAACGTTACTAGATTGAAATCTAACTAAAATGCGTTTATGGGCAAATTTTGAATTCAACAATTTTTCATTTTTTTTTATATACTGAATGGACACACATATGCATGCTTCCAGCGAGGAATGGACACTAAAAATGAAATACTTATAGACGGATTTTGTTAAAAGTAAACAGTGATCTTTCAACTTAAATTATTATGACAGTTCTGTCATTTCCGCTTGTAATTTTAGGGTGATTTTGTATAATAAAATGTATAGTTCCAAAAATTGTAATTTATGAAAAAAATATATATAGATTTTAGAAAAAAATAATATTGCGGATTTTAAAATAATATTTATTTTTTGGATACAATTAAAATTTGAAAGTTTTTAATTGAATAATTATGATGATGAAGTAGTACATGGCAATTATTATACAGAGTAAAAAAAAATCACGATTTAACAAAACATCAATATTTTAATTTTTTTAAATGGATACATTATTTTTTATTTAATCATAATAGCTATTTATGCAACTAGTTACGAAATGCCTTGTTTTATGTAACTAGTGAATATTTGCGGGACGAGCAGAGCGAGATCCCGCAACATATACGAGTTACATAAAACGGCATTTAGTAAAGTGTTACATGCAATATTTTTTTCTAATTTTGACCAGATTATTTATAAAATTGTGTTTAGTAAAAAAATTATTAACATCTAGGCAACCAATATTACTACTTTCTTGTATTGTTAGTTGCATATTCATAATTTTATTGACAATTAAAACATAATACTATTTATTTATCCTCAACGACTTGTAGTGTGTTGATATTGCCTAATAAAGTTATTTAGTTTTAAAAAAAGTGGATTTTTGTCGTGTATTGTTTTAATTATTTTGTGCCGATTTAGAATGGAAAATAAGGACCAAAACAACATTATTACTAGGTTGTAAGTTTAACCAAATTCTATTTTTATAAGTTAACCTGCCCTTCTTTGATATAAACTTTCAATACATTTTCATTATATAGATTACAAAACCAAAAAAGGTTTATTTTTGTTTCTTTTCTTTTCGCAACTGGTGACACAATGAATTTTTCTAATTCTGATATATAAAGTGGTGATATTTTTTGTTATCTACATAATGTTGCACATTATGAAACTGGTTACGATGTCACCAGTTGAGAAAATGAGACAAATAAAAATAAACCTTTTTTGGTTTTATAATCAATATATATCCTATTATTGAAAGTTTATATGAAAGAAGAGCCAGTCGACTCATAAAAATAGAATTTGGTTAAACTTACAACCTAGTAATAACATTGTTTTGGTCTTTATTTTCCATTCTAAATCAGCACAAAATAATTAAAATGAAGTACACAAATAACCCACTTTATTGAAAAATAAATAACTTTATAAATCATTTTTCCTGAATATTTAATCTCTCAATATTTATATATTTGCATGAAAAAAAAAGTTACATTCGTTTTTAGCTTTAAATAAAAGTAAAAAGTAGCATTTTTCAATTTACAAAATTTAGTAATTTACTTTTTTAGATTCAATGATAATATGTAGAATCGGGAATAAAATAGGGGTATCCCATTTAAAATAAGAAAGTTGAATCCACTTCTGGTATGAGCGGAACAGACAGAACTGTCAAAATATTTTAGATGGAAGGATCATAACCTGTTTACTATTTTTACCAATTTTTAATAAAATCCGTCCATTGGTTTGTTAGAATACTTATACTGTCCCACCGTCGCTGGACGGTTTTGATTTAAAATGAAATGATTTGTGTATAAAATAGTATACAAATCTTGGCGGAAATTATCATTTCAGTCTCAGTTTATAACTCGATGATAATGATGTATTTCCCTCCTCGGTATGTAATCTACTATTATTCAACAAGCAACAATAATGGCTATTACTCTCGAGAATAAATCTGAACCATAGCTATACATTTTTTGTGTTGCCTTCGAAATGGCAGAGAGGGGCAGAAATTTGGCTTCCATCGATTCATTTATTTGTATGTACCAAAATTGTTACGCACCTTTATGTTTAGATATTTTTATAACAGAATTTGATTTTTTTAATTACAAGTAAAAATGAGAAGGTTTAATTTTAAAATTTAGAGACTTAAAAAGCGGTTTAAAAATTATGCTAACTCAGTATCTATTAAATGACAGTTTTGACAAATGATTCCAATTATATTAGTGACATCTGCTGCTAAAAATCGGCTTCTACTAACCACATAAAATTCGCTATGTACAAACTACAACTACCACACAAACGTTTTTTAAAATGCGTTTTTCTAAAATGTATCTTTAAATAGATTGTAATATAGTGTAATATAGTTTTATACAAATGGGAAAAATTCACAAAAAATATATTTTTGATACAAAAAAACATTTTATTAATTTTTTTTTGTGAAATGTAAGAAAGTTTTTTCACATTTGTATAAAACTTTTTATGGTACACTTTATACAATAATATGAAATTGACTTGATTGTATTCAGTATTGACGACAACTTTTGTATTTTATATTAAAATCAGATTTAATGGAAAATTTATGAGAAAAAAGATTGTGGTATGAATTGAGAAAAAAGAAATGAAGAAAGTGTAAATTTTTAGTAGATAGTTTTTAGTTAAATGAAATTAAAAACAATTAAAATAAAAGGTCTACAAAATATTACATAATTAAAATTCAAAAGTATAGTACTATATTGAGTGGATTGCATACGATGCAGCAAAAAGATACAGTAATTTTTAGACGTTCAAATGTGACTTTAAAACGTATTTCTTTTTTATATAGAAATAAAAAAAAGTACAGTTACAGGTTAAAACCCAAAACCAGTTTTTACCATTCACCATTAGTGACAGATTAAAGAAAACAGATGAACCTAATCCTGAGCAATGCAAAGAATGACATAATTAAGAAGCAGTCTTTCAGTCAGTCTATAAACTGGCAAGTTAAATATCATTCGAAAAAATTGAAAATCAAAGTTTGAATGTTTATTTGTGTTGAATGATATGCCTAAAACGCATATTTTCATAACAGATTAAAATTTCTCTAAATGAGTTATTAAAATATCCATAAATCCTTGATTTTCTATTTTAGTAGGGTCCGTTTAAATTAAGAAGAACACAGATACGTCATCAATTGGCGTAGTAATTCCTTGGATTTCGACGCCTACTAAGAATTTAATGGCGTGTTAATATTATAGGAATGTAGGAATCATTTTTAAACCAAACAATGCACACATTCTTTATTTATTGATAGTTATATATGATATATATTTGAAATTAGAAATAATAGTTATGACGTAGCGGTATTCTTCTTTTATTGTAATCGGATTCTAAGAGGGCATTTTTATCCAAATTTCTTTCTTTGCAGTGTGTTCAGAAACTTAATCCAAAGAAAAAAACGGCAAATCCGAGAACTCATTTTATGCCGATTTAACCTAATTTACCTTAATACAAAAATGCTTCGTAAATGAGTTAGAGCTCTCTTTAAAGGTTAGGCTCTAACATCAGTTTAATTGAAATAACTTCAAAACGGATTTCTATCAAATGATATCATTCCTGTACATTTCTTTCTAACCAATAAAATTTCGTAAATATATATTTTTTAATGTAGTCATAAGCGGCTCGTTTGGGTGGGGTATTGGACATTTTTATTCATTTTTTGCCTTTAAAAAAGTCGCCATTTTGAGATGATATTAAATTCGTCATTTTCACACAAAAATGATGCTCTTATCTGAAGTCTCCATGACGAACTGTTTTGAGAAAAATCGATTTAAAATTTTCATGTGTCTTACATACGTTTCCAACAACTAACAAATAATAAATTATGATAAGACACCTGTGGAAAAAAAAACAAAATAACAATTACATAAATGTCAAATGACTGGTATTTCAAGAAATAAATGACAGAATGATATCATTTAACAGAAATCCGTTTTGATGTTAGAGCTCTAGCTCACCTAGGAAGCATTTTTATATGAAGGTAATTTAGGTTAAATCGACATAAAGTAACCTCTGGTTTTTGGAGTTTTTTCTTTGAAGATCATTTCTGGACGCCCTGTATATTTATTATACAGTTTGAAGGATATCCAGCCAGTTTTAATAGACATGGTGTCAGTAGTCAAAAGTTAATGGATGATGGTCAGTCACGTTTTTTTTGCTTTAAACATATGTCTTACCCTGATCCGTATCTGGATCTGTATGATAATGGTAACCCTGAGTGACGCCTTCGTGCGAGTGCGCCCTACCTAACCTATGTAACCTCGCCATTTGGGCCGCTACGCTGTACGCAGGAGGTTGTCTTCTTCCAGGACCTGTATCAAAATAAAAAAAATATACTTAATTTTGACATTCAAGTCTATTGATGGCGCATGCCCTAGTTGGCAGTAAAAATTACAAAACGAATGAAAGCTGGTGATAGTTTGATTCGTTTTTTATCAAGTGGCCACGAAAAAAACGTTTTAGGGTGCACAAAATTGCATTTACTTTTGTTCAAGTTAGTATAATTTCAATTAATTATGATTAATTTCATTTAATTTCGATTAATTGGTATATTTTTTATAAATCTAATTATTTCGTGTCCATCAATATGGTAATTTTTACTTTCTAGGGTAATGTTAGTCACATTTTTTTATGAAATAATATTTAAATATTATAAATTACAAAAATGACGTGTTAAAAACAATAATAAACAATGTGTGATTTTATGACAGATCGGTTTTTAATAAACTTGTGTTTTGATGATGAAATCATGAATTGCTTTTATTTAAATAAATTATATACAGTAATAAATAAATAGTGTATTATTTTGTACATTCTTCAAGCTACAACATGCATAATGCAAAGCAAAAAAAAGCATGAAATGAATAGTGGGAAAGCATACAGTGAAGCAAGCGATGTACATCTAGCCACATACAAAAAAATGAAACATTTATGCAAATTTTTTTTTGGAGGATGAAAAATGGAAATAAAGTTTTAATTTTTTTATATCAAAATATGAAACAGCTTACGTACGTAATAAATACGTTTTAAATTATTATTGAATTAAAAAAAAAAACATTTTTTCTTATATCAAAGACTATAAGAATAATGATTTTCGAATTATCTGCAAAATTACATTTTTGACAACTGCTTTATATGAAAAAAAAAAAAAAAAACGTTTTGATAAATCATCAAAATTTTGGGTTGATTCTACAAAACAGTACAAAATTCCATGGATTCAGATTCAAAAATGTTAATTTTCGGATAAATAAAACGGTTTTTTACAAATACATATAAACACTAAAAATCTAAGAACTCGACTTAAGTCAACCTTCTATTTTTCCTAATTAAATATACAGGGTGTAACAAAAAGATGTACAGTAAATTTAACCACATTTCTGGAGCCGAAAATAAGTCGATTTAAGCTAACTTGTATAAAAAATTACAGGGAGTTAAAATTGAAATTTTACTTTTTGCTCTTACTCTAAATTGGCTTAACATATTTTTATGAAAATGTACATAGAATTTTAGTATACAATATATAGGTTTTTAGAAGGGTCCCACACCCCTTTCACCAACCTACTTTTTTATACAATGAAATTCAGTTAAAGACCCCACCGATTTTATACATCTGTTTTGATTTTTTTTTGTTTCTTAGTATTTGTTTGTGAAAGCCTTAATTACTGAGTTATAGGCCCCTGAAGGAAGCTCAAAGTAAAAATTACTCACAATGAAATTTTTCTATCGATCTTAAACCACTGAATATTAAATTTGTTGACGATATTTTTTACTATTTTACAACTTTATGAATGATCGATAATACAAAGGAATAATTCTAACTCCATTTTAATGGTCACTGTAATCTAACATCCCATGTATATTTTCATAAAAAGATATTAACACCCTGTAACTTTTCTCCTATCCATTTTTTAGTTAGTTTAAATCGGCTTATTTTCGACCTCTAAAACCCAGTTTAAATTTACTGTAGGTACATCTTTTTGTTACACGCTGTAAAATCAACACAACGTGCCAGGGTTGGCGTCCCAGGATATTTTTTTTATTTTTAATTAAAAGTAGCGCCAACCCTGGCACCTGTGTTTATTTATATATAATTGTATATAATATAAATATTTAATTAGGAAAAAGGGTTTAAGACGGGATCTTGTACTATAACAAAGAAAGCATTGTACAGTGGCTATACGAACCAAATACTACTCAACTTACCATTGACATTACGCAAAGCATGAGGTAAAGGGGGTAAAACGGCCACAGCATGAGCACAAGGGGGCATAGCACCATTACGGGGAAACCAGCCTATCACCAATGACAGACAAACTAATGAAATACCGTTCAAGAAAAACAAGACGCAAAACATAATGCATTCAAATAATTTATTTATACACATTCATACTTGTTTAATCATTTTAAATAAAAGAGAAATCTTCTAAAATGAACCTCAGCATTATGAAATTTAATATCTGTCATTTAGAAGTTTATAAAAGTGTGAAAAAAGGAAACAGGTTAACTTCAAAGGCTTTTATATCGATTCTATTGAATCAGTGAATATTATAGTATATAAGAAGAAAACCGGAAATGCAATACTGGCACTATATTGGACTGATTTGTTCCATTGTGGCATTTTTAATTTTACATACAAGGTGAATCCTAAGTGATACTTTTTTTAACTGTGGTCGTTAAAATAAAGATAGTTTTCAAATAACTTTTTTCAAAAAACTTAAAAATAAAGATACAAAATTAAAAATGCTAAATTGTGTATCAAAAATTAAGTTAAATGAGAAGTCGGTTTATGTTTTTGTTTTACCTTTTTTTTAGATTTTTATGTATAAACCACGCTCCACCGGTTATTGGAATAATTCAGGAATATGTGATTTTTATAGCCTGTTTTTATTACAACAATGATCTGTTGTTTATTCATGATGAGTGTCTTTAAAGTGCTTGCATCGAAGTGCTGCATCGGTGTTGTACAGTAAACGTTTTATCTTGTGAACCTATCCTAGTCCCAGAACTTTCATTAATCTAACTCAAAGGGTTAGGGATACGGGTGACTTGCCGGAACATCGTGAAGGAGATGTAGGAAGGCCGATTCGAGAAGACACGAAGTGCGTTTTGTGTTAGGTGAATGGACAATTTTGAACACATTATTTAAGTTAGACAAGACAAAATTGGATACATTTTGAAATACATTAATGTAAGTTTCTTATTTTGAGTTTTTTGAAAAAGTAATTTGAAAAAGTTGTTTATTTTAATAACTTCTATACAAAATATCAACTTAGGAGTAATCCTGTATATTTAAAATTTTAAAAGAATTTATTACGAATGGCTAGTTTTGCCAAAGAAAATGAATATATTACAAAAAAGTTAATTAAACAAAAACCTTGAGCTGAAAGAGAATTTATGGGATAAACGGTACTGTAATCAACTTCACAGTTCTAAGATTAAAGCAGAAAAGAAGCAGACAAAAGTTGGGTAAGTACCTAGGTAAAAAATGGACTATTTACGAAAAATAACTAATTTATATTATGTATTTTAAACCACTAGGTATCGTTCTGGTCATGAGGTTCATCTTATAAAAATTTCCTTTATACCATTTTATTCAAATGTAATTTTAACAACAAATGTATGTGATCAATTGAATAAATGAATGGGCATGTTTAGTGAAATTAAAAGATTTTTTTTTATACTAATATAAAATTGTTTTTAATTTTCCCTTTACAAACTTTCTGACAAAGTTTTTTACCCAAAACAGTCGAAATATTATTATTACTCGGACAATATTTTTTCTGGCAACAGTGTTTCATCCTAAATCCTAATCTCGTTTGAGATTGTTGTGTTCTGTGTTTATATTTCTAAATAAACAAACAAGCTAATTTTAATCCGATTTTAGAAAGTTATAACTAATCATCAATATCCCTATTAGAAAAAGATGTAATATCGGATCACTGTATTATTATTTAGCGATCAATGAAGATAGGCGCTTCAAAATGACGAGCATAATGGCGCAAACATGATTTTTAAATTCTTGATTTAAAGCACCATAAATTAATTATTTATTATTAACTTAAAATATTTAGTGTATTAAAGTGTTTGTGTTCAAAAAGTTTATAGCATCAGATTCACTAAATTTGTTTATACTAAACATTTAAATAATTTGTATCTAAGAATTTAGGTCTGTTTAGAAAACCACAATATTAGTACAAAAATAATATTTATGTCTAATAAAAATTAAAAATCTGTTCCAAAATAGTTTTTTAAATATTAGACCGAATTTCTTAAAATATATATAGGGCGATTCATAATTAATTGAATATAAAACAAAGGTAGAATCCTATCATCAAAATATGAGGATTTACCAAATGACTTTGGTTAAATGTTGCTAAAAATGTTATAGCCAAAAGTCATCTCCGTTAGCACATAAAGCGCCTTCTCATAGAACAAGCAAAAAAAAACACTATGGTGACTTTGCCACCTCGAAAAACGCCAATTACCAAAATTTCATCAATATCAGTGAAACATGTGATATTCAAAAATTACTTGATAAAATATTTCATCATTACATAAATTGTTAACTATCAACATTTTACTAAGGTCATATTTGGTCAATCGTCATATTTTGATGTCAGGATTCTACCATTGCTCTGTGTACAATTTATTATAATTCACCCTGTATATTTATTTTTCTAAATGAAAATTAAATCATTTTTACCATTTATTTTGTGAATCATTTACATTTTACCAATACACACTGTCAGCCACTGAACGTTTTCCAATACGCTTTTTCACGTGCATGTGAAAACTACAGAGTTAGCATTAGTGTGAAAAGGAAACGAATAATATTAGCATTGCCGGTTTATATGGCCTGGCCAACGTTACAACGTTGCAATGCGTATTGGAAAACATTCGATAGCCGATAATGTATGTAGATTTTTTAAATTTAAATTTTACTCAATTTTTATTTTCAAAGTAGCATTAGGCACTTTCTAAACTAAATGCAAAATTGACATTTGCCGAGGAATATCTATTTTGCAAATTCTAGACAGCAAAATTGATTGCTAAAATTAAATATGCTGGTTTAGCGATGACGTAATTTGTTTTCCACTGACAATTACAGTGACAGTGAGACTTATAAAAATAGAAGTTATAGGTGTTCATTAACATTCTACTTCTATCATTTTCAAGATTGTATTCATTTAAAAAGTTGCCTTAAAAATAATTTTGGTTATTTTGGTTTACTTCCTTGCTTTAATTGATTTATTACGATACAGATTTGTATTATAATAGAAATGTCAAATCACAGCTATATTTGGCAATATATATTAGCGCCACGAGTATATGACAGATTAAAAAATGTATCACTTTTGACACTTCATTGTTAGTGTTTATATAGTAAATTACTGAAATTGTTGTAGTAAAAATGTATGATAATGACAAAGAAATTGTGGGACAAGTCACAAGAGTCTTAAAGGTATACTCAATTTATGGATTGGAGAGACAAAAATAGAGTAAACAACTTTTCAGATGACATATCCCAAATATTGAAACCTACAAGTTTATGGACACATTATTCATAATGTTTTCTTATTCCTGACAGCTCACATTAACCTTATATCTGAATACACCTCTGTGCAAGCACAAGCTTGCATAAAAACATAACCTTGTAAAAAATCTCCGTCGTTACGATACCAATACCTATGCATGAGGGAAATGTCACGTAGGCAACACTTCCTGCCAAAAACAAATATTTCATGATGCAACATTTTTGTAAGCCAGGTTCAGAGCTAGAAGCTCATTGGATTAAACCGATCATTAGTCTGTGAAGGCGTAACTTAACATCAGCGGCAACAAACTGAATTCAGATTTTTCATTTATTTTTTTAACTTACTCTTCATCTGTCCGTTGAAAGAGATACATGCCATGAGTCAATAGATTGGTATGTTGTGTTAAAAATATATATTTTCTGAGAAATCGGATACAGTTCATCAAGAGTTGTATAACTTTAAATAACAAAATAAATAATTTTGCAAATTTAAAATTCTTATGAAGAAATTTTGCATGAAAAACCTTCTTCAAGAATTATCTTTTCATCCAGACACCAGAAGTCATCATATATATGATATAAATGCGAGGAAAACATGAGAATGCCAGAAACAGCACACTCAAGTAGTAAAAAGTTATTTTTCTTTATTATGACTTATGTAACTCACATTTAATGGCTATTAAGAAACTTGTATTCATTACTATACTCGCCAAGGCATAGTTGTTATCATAGTTGTGTCTCAATAGTTATCGTTAAATGTTGTATTTTGTTGTAATCAATGACAGAATGGTTTGTTTTGTTTGGATCATAAATTACGTCACACTAATGCAGCGTATTGATTGTAGAAAAAATAAGTAATGCGAGCGCAAATTGTCATTGCACTCTTAATACCCAAATAGAGTGTTTTTTTACCACTTTTCCCTTCGCATGCATCACTTTGTTTTGAACTAGAGCTGGACAAATATTTGTAGCAATCGTTTTAAAATGAGTTAAATCAGTTTGTATTATTATCATCAAAATTAATTAAATCTAAAAATAATATCAAAAGTTTCGTGTAAGCTATATAGAAGCATCTATTTTTTTTAAATTAACTCATAGTTGATTTGAATTGTTGTTACAAAACATGTCCATTGTATTTATAAAACTTAATAACTAATAAGTAATTATTATTGAATAAACAAACTTGGTTAATAATAAAACTATACAAACACACATCAGGCATATCCCAACACATTCCTAACTTTTATTGTACACTAAAATCAGACAGCCAGTGATCGTAACTAAAGTTTTTGGTACTCATTTAGACTTTCTGACTTTAATGCACATTAAACTATACACGCTATTTTATATTTTCAAGACAGAAACTTTTATTAGATTTCGAAAAGTACATACCTGGTATAGGTGGTGGATGTCTGGGCGGACTCGGACAGCGCTGCTGGTAGGAGTGGCAATCATTGGAACTATTAGTCACCTGGCTAATGGTACTGTGACCCGAGTCCGAAGAGGAGACCGAACCTGCATATATAAACATGCCATGACCTTTTATAATCGTGCCCAACAAAGACAAGATGCCAAAAATACAAGGTGCAATGAATGAGAAAGAATGATATAATATTTTGATTTAGATGGTTTCGAAAATAATTATGTCGTGAATGGATTTCTCAGTCGCTTTTTCAGTGAAGATAATGACAAATAAACTCAACAAAGCAACACAAAAGATCAATTATCGTTTTTATTAAACACAACATTAATAATAATGCCGAGTAGGCATAATAGTTAACTCGAACTTCCAGCTACAAACACTTACATTTCATTTGCCGGCAGAACATCGCCAGCATCCCAAAACATTCGTGGTAGGAATAAACCCTAACCGGAATAAAATGAATTGTAGATGTACATTATATTTTTATGATTTAATAAAAATTAATTCAGATCGAAGAAAGACCAATATGATTATTATTAAAGGTTATAATAGAATCTAGGATAAATAGGAAGACAGAGAATGAAATTGAAGGAAGCAGTGTTGCAAGGTGTTGCGGAAAAACAATAACAATAACTGGCAACAGACAGAGCAAAATGAAAAATACAAGACTATAGGCCCGCCCAAGGACCATTTTTACAGCCTATACACCGATATGGAAATTTCTGGAGAGTAAATTGATTAAGGCAGAAATATTTTTGAATTTGGTCTTCAGCAATATTAGGATGCAATAAAAATTGAAGTATTTTAAATACATAATCACGTTAGGAATGTCCTGGGATTTTAATTTTGGATTGTTTCGGTTGATTGTCAGATGGGGATTTAGAAAGTCAGAAGATTTGTTGGGTTAAGTTGGAATTTGTTGGAGAAAGATCAAAATTAACAAAAATATAAAAAAAATAAAAGAAAAATTTTATTTAACACATTCGCGGACACCTGGTTCATTTTTGAACTACTCAAATCATCACCTGATGGATAGCGCGGTGGACTTAAATTCAAATTAAATGCCTTCGTGGGACAATTCTCTGATAACAAAATCCGATATATAAGGACACTTTCATGAGTTCTTTTTGGAGAGTCGCAATAGCATACGTGCCATTTTCAGTGCTCCAGTAATCGTCTGTAATTGCAGTTCTGTTCCTACACATGGGTCCGTGAATCAGAATAAGTGAGTCCTGATAGGAGCAACATTAGAAAGTGAGCAACAAAGAAAGTAGACAATTTAAAATTAGATTTAGGTTTTTTTATCCTATAATTCTTTGAAGTAAAAAGTATCAAACATTTTAGGAAATTGAACGCATTCCATATTGGGGTTGAATTTGAGTTGAAAATTAATACATACATAATAGAATAGAAAATGTTGCACCCACAAGAAACCATGTTCGACATGTTTTCTTCAATGTGATAATATATACAGGATGTTCTCAACCAAAGTAATGTCAATATTGAAGTAGGCAATTCCTTGTTCCATTTTATGACTAAGATTTCATATAAACGAATGAAGGAACTTAGAAAGTTGTTCTAGTATAATTATAAATTATCGTCCTTTTACACGATGTTAAATGGGTAGCTTTAAGAAGAATTATAGGGGGTTGAGATTCGATGAAAATATGTGTGTACTAACGATAATCGACTTCAAATTTGCGAATTCGGATATCAATACTTATGTGTGTTGATAGGTCAATTGGCAGGGGACGGACGGCTCAAGTCCGAGATTCTGGGTTCGACTCTCGGCCGATGAACTCTTTAATCATCAGCTTTTCTTTGGATCGTTTCACTTTGGGGATATGAGGGTGAGATTTTCATAATTTCGTAGGAGGAATTGGGGATTTTCATAATTTCCAAAAAATAGCATGAGAAATAGAAAAACAAGTTTAGGTATTTAAACCTATTTTACTGCAAAACTAGAACAAATTATTATAATACGTAAAAGAAGTAGAAACCGCTGAATAAATTGTTTCAAGTCTTAAATGGCTAAATATATAAATAATTAAATTAGTGGATTAAGTATGAAATCAACGCGTGTACTACTGCAGAGTTAAATAAAAAAAAGTTCAGTTGCGTACTGGAGGGCAACCTAATTGCTATTTTTGAACGCCCTGTATCTCAAAAAAAAGCAATTTAGAGCATATGTTTACATAATACCTCCTCCAATATTGACATGACATTTAGGAACGAATACCCTGCATATATTTAAATTTATTTCAAAAATGAACAAAATGGTATGACTTATATTTAACAAAAAACAATAACATCCATGAATTTCCATAGATCAATCGTGCATAATATAATTTTGTTGGCATCTGTACACATTTTGTAGATTAAGAGACATTGAAAAAAGAGAGACATAACAGGAAATGACAATTGACATGTGACACAACTCACCTGATGTGACAGTTTTTCTTAAAGGCAAGTTACTCAGCGATGTAACGCTGCTGCTCTCGGCAGATAGAGCTACGGAGGGGAGAGGAGTGGGTGTATCGGAGTGAGATCTCTCGTGCATTGCTCTTCCGCCAGCGCCCGAACTACTCGTTGAACTGTGGGACCCATAACTAGAGTAACTTCCTAGAAAATAAAAGAAATATCTATATTTTATGTTGTGTTGGTACTAAAATGAAATCAAGATTTTAACTGTATATAGAGCAGTTAAAATAAACAACTTTGTCAAATAACTTATTTTAAAAAACTCAAAAATAAGATACAGAATTAAAAAAATATAAATCCGGGTCTGGACTTGTGTACGAAAAGTTAAACAAATTAATAAGTATGCTCGTGTTTTCATCTGTTTTTTCGGTTTTTATTATGAATATGAATCACAATTCACGTGTACCAGTTATTGTAATTTAGTCGCTATATTAGTAAAACTGAAAATGAAGTGCGTTTATAAGAACACATTTTAAATAATATAATCGAGGAAGATCCAGCAATAGGATGATTGCAGAACAGGTACGATAAGTCTAAAAATGTGGAAAACTAAGGGAAAATCAATTGTATCCCTTTCACGTTCAACTTGAATATTGTTCCCGCATAGTTGTTTTGAGAATAGTTCTCACAACAGCATGAATGTAATCAACATTTTTCGAAGAAAGTTATAAGGAACCTTATTGTATATATTTTAGAATAAATTAATGTGTTTCTTATTTTTGAGTTTTCTTTTTTTTTAGTTATTTATTTTATGCACAGTTTAGGATTCACCTGTTGATTTTAAAAAAGCGTATGAGACGTTAAAAGTATCGCAAACTTTTAAAATACTTTTGAGAATTATTTTGTTTCATTTTCTTTATTGTTTACTATTACCTAAAATGTTTTGAGCAACAAAAATTGATTGATTCTTACAATGAATATGAAATATAGTTATTTAAACGAATTATTAGTAGAAACGATGTTTTAGATATTAAACAGAACAATAACACGAAATGATTAATACAACATACATTTTGTTAAAAGATAATTAACTTACCCGTGGCACTGGGCGCCCTTCTGACAGCAGGGCTAGCCTGACTAAGACCATGAGAAGGAACACGAGGCTGATGGGGTCTCGTTTTAGTCGGTTCCGATAATGCCAATAATTTCCGGACTGCTTGTGGTGAAGCCGAACCTGAATTCAATTTTAATGGCGTTATTTTCAAAACGAAAATCAGACAGGTAATCAGCATTATCGTGTACCCAGAAATGTTAGATGTATTTTAGTGAATGCGTACAAGAAATTGAATAGATTTTATGATTGAAACTTCTTTCAAATCCAAGCAGTAGTCCTACTGCAAGGAGGTATCTTGAGTTTTTTTTATGATATGAGGAATTAAAAAAAAGATACATGTCAGACCAGATGAAAAACATTTCCCGATGTTAATGTATTTCTTTTATGGCTTTTCTAATTGAAGAAAATTGTGTGACATAATGATATTTTAGAGGATTATGAGAAATACAATTTTTGAAACGATAACTATTCATATCCTGCTTAAAAGATGAGTCAATTATTCATTAGAAAATTGTCTTTAATTATTATATTAAATGAATATTTGTGATGAAATTTATTAATTTTTGTGATAAAATTTGTAAAATTTTTTGGAAATAAAAACTATGATTTATTAAAAGTGGTGAAAAAACAACAGATATTTTTTAATAGTTTTACACTATTCAAATTATAAAATTATTAGTTTTGACTTTTAACTCGAAATAATTAGTTATCCTTCTACATTTATGACGAGCATATTTTCTATATTTTGGAAAAAATCTATTCAATTCTCTTTTCTCGTTAAAACGTATAAAAACAAATTAGGAAACAGCATTAATATTGTTAAAAAATGTGTTAGAAAAATATTAATGACACAAGACAATGAGAAACAATAATGGAAAAAAGATCAATTTAGAATGAACTAATCGCAGCTCAAGGGGTGTGTTTAGTATAAATGAATTTTAACGAATTGGATGCTATAAACAAAAAACTTTTTTATACAATAAATACTTTAGGTTAAAATCTTTGTTTAGACGTTATAAACACAGATCAAAACAAACTCAAAACGATCGGAAACGAGGTTATGATTAAGGAAATAATAACATTGTCAGAAAAAATATTTCACGATTATGAATATTTTTGATTAAGAAGATTGCTCATTAAAATAGTAATTGTCAAATTGTTTCATAAAAACGGAATTTAAGCATATATGATTTTATGTTAAAATATTCGATGTTAACCTTCAAATGATTGTCGGTTATCAGAGATTTCAATAATTCTTTATGAAAATGGTAACAAGGTAAAAACACTGTCTCTAGCATTATAAATTAGCCAATTCGCTTCATTGTGTCGAAATTTGAAGATAATCGAGGCGGGCGTTTCAAATTTGGATTATTCTTTTTTTTTATTTAGAATAAAAAAAATTGTATTAAACTTTGTAAAGAGAAAAATAAAAATTAAAAAAATTTGATTAGATTTTGGATATTTGGAAAAATATTTCTGAATTTAACCAAACACACCCTATAAAATTTATCTTGGGAGTTTTCTTTTAACAATTTTCCTGGGATCTATTTAGGTACCGTCGTTTTCGCTGGCTCACCCTACATATATTGGGTATATCGCAAAATATTTTAGTAGTATTTGCACGTTTATGTATTTTCAGTTCATAAGGAATGGTAAATAGTTTAACCATAAGCTCGAGATCTAAAAATATTAATATTTTGCTAAATAAAACTGGGTCAAATGTTATTTTCTTCTGAGATACAGGGTGATATAGTTAAATGTATTTTTCGTTTTTTGTATTATTTAACGTATTGACTTGAAATTTGGTACGGTCACATTTTTGGACTAATAAATCATAAGCATGTTATCAATTTTGAGATTAGACACATTACTGTATAAAGAAAACTATTCATATTTTTTGCCATTTATAAATTTTTCTTAAGTGTTTATAGTACTACCTATAAATTTTAATTTCGAAATGGATTGAATTTATGCTATCAAGACAAGTTATACGTTATTTGTTCAAATTTACAAGGTGTAACATAAAGAATTTAAAAATGCTAAGAATAAAAAAATGAATAGCTTTCTTCATCCAGTAAAAGTGTTTGTGTTTGTCTAATCTCAAAATTGATAGCATGCTTATGATTTACAAGCCCAAAAATAAATCCATACCAAACGAAAATATTGCAATAAAAACGAAAAATAAATTTTAACTTTAACACTCTGTATCTCAGAAGTAGATAACATTTGACCTAGTGTTATTTAGCAAAATATTAATATTTTGAGGCAATGAATCTACGGTTAAAATATTCACACCTTCTATATGAATTCAGTGGAACTACAAACATATTATGACAGAAAAAAATGTTTAAGCATTAAAGCAATTTTAGTAGGCAGTTTTTATCAAAAAAACTCATTCTTACCAAATTTAGCAGTGGGTTTCCGTTCATCGCTAGCACTACTCGTGCTACTAGTGGTAGACGGCGCAGGCGAAGCGTGTCTCTTAGATCTCTGAGTTCCAGGACCCGCTAGTCCACCCGTCGCTGGACTTTCGCACTCCAACGACATCTCGTGCAGCTTAGCCTCGTCGGTTTCCACTTGCAGGTTGTTCAGATAGGCCTTCACTCGACGCACCATCTGCGATTCCTCGAACATCTTTTTGTGGTTCGGAGCTGCCGCCGATTTCTTCCTCCTTTTTACCGTCGCTTGACCTAAACGAAACAATTAGTTATCTTGCATCAAAACAGTTATCAACAGAGGAATAGATGGACAGATATAGCTGAAACCACCAAGGTCAATATAATAGTCAATAGAAGAGCAGAGATCATTTCCTTTCGGTTTTTCAAGGTGATCATTCGGATTTTAATGCATTAGAGTCGAAGTTCTGTATTTTGAGACATTGCCAAATATAAGAGCCGTAAAAATCACGTTCTGAATGCACAAAGTCATGAAATTATGCATTTTGATGTGAAATGTACGCATGAGGAATTGCTAAATTCGGTATTGTCTATATGATCTATTAATTTTATATTACTATGTACATTATATTGTTAGATATTTCTTTTCATCTTGAGTGTATTCTGTTACTAGATTGTATACTATTCAGTTGAAAAGAGTAGTAATTTGGCAACGCAGCATGAATCCTTATCTCAGTCGTGTCTCAAGTTGGCGCATGGTGCTTTAGCTATTCCTGTCGATCTGTAATTCAAATTTACCTTGGGCGTGGTAATTGGAAGCAGCAGTGGTGAGCTGGTTCAGAGCAACCATTGCGTTACTGGCCGGTTGCCCGCCCAGTTTGAGCATCGTAAGTAAATCGTATGGACTACTGCACATGTTGCTCAGAGATCTGACTTCTTTAGCTATCATCCGGAGTTTTTCAAAATTTATTAGGCCTTCAACTTTGGAATCGTTGCCTAGGTGTATGAAAGTTAAGTCTTTTTTCACCACCGGATAGAATGGTATCTGAAATGTACAATTCTGTTAGTAAATAACTGAAATATAAAAAGTAATGAGCACTGTTGGCATATATCCGTTCATTGATAGATAGTAGCAAATACTATATATCTAATAATATGTACAACTTCATGTATTGTCAAGTTTTTAGAAATCCTCTTACTAGATGAGGGGATACAATTACTATCTTGCGTAAAAATATGTGCCCTTGTTTTTTTTTAATAGAATAAATTTGATTTAATGCTTAATTCCCATTATAAATAACTTATAAAGACCAAAAGTGCTCATATCTCATTTTTTTTGTTTCTTAGCATTCACAAAAAACAAACACAAGTAGGTTGATTGAAGGCATACAAAAACGGAAGATATAGGTTTCTTGAGTACATACAGAAAATATGTAGAGGACCAAAGAGGATTACAAAAACTAAAAGAACGACTATTTCACTTATATGTACAAGAGAATATTTAATTTTTGGATGCTTTATGATATAATTTGTGGCGAAATTTTAATTAATTATTAAAATGTTTATTTCAAATAATTTTCGCCTTAGAACATTCTGAAGAGGCCCCGTATTTTTATTTCCTTGGAGTTCCCGTTAACATTTGCGAGAGCCCTCGTAGTTTAAAATATATCATTATTTACCGAAATTCGAATCCAGATTTAAACGTTTAATTTCATGTAAATTATCTGGGTATATTCTGCAAGTGTCAAAAGGACATTTTTTATTTATTCCACAGGTAAACATTTAAATTGGAGGTGGTATCACCCACTTCAAACTACTCGTAATCCGAACCAGACCGATCGCGAGGCATAAATCCGAGAGCCCCAAGGAACACACACTCTCTCTCTCCTCTGCCATCCCGCTGTTGCTGCTCGACTTAGTGCCGAATATTAGCAAGAGTTTTTCCTGTTTTCCGTGCCGATGTCACTAACATCGTTATTTAAGGTAGGAATCAAACACTATTATCTTCTTTTGTTTTTTGGCAAGCACCGAGTACTTAGGTTCGTTTTCCTGGGCATCCTATAAACGCTTAATTGGATAATCGGAGAGCATTAATTCATTTTCATTTTATTTTTAAAGGAAAGCCGCTGGAAATTTTCTGAAGTTTCGTAGACGGAATACATAGAAGTGTTTCACAGGTTTCATTCGGTCACTAAATGTCCTAAAAAAAAAACACGAGTCAAAGCCGGAGTTAAGAATATTAATTCAATTTTCATTTATTTTACCTTTTTTTTTGATTTGAAAACCGCATGGGAATTTCTGAAGTTTCGTAGTCGGAATACCCAAGTGTAATTTCTAAAAAAAACCCGCGTCATTTCAAGTCGGAACGATACTAACTCCACTCCGTTTATTTTACAGAATTTATTTTATTACGTTGCTCGACCCAGTCGGCAGAAAGCTCGCTCTTATCCGCAGAATATAGTATTTGAAAATCCAACCTATAACCGTTACGAAGTTAAAATTTGAGGACAGTTAAAAATCTCTTTAAAATTTCCGAATTCCTAATCACCTCGACTGGGCATTCTACCAAAGACGATAACAAATCATACACAATTTTTTTGTCCCGAAATAGGTGAACGAACGTTCGAAAGGTCTAGAATTGGGACACTCGAGTTTCCAAAGGTTATTTTGGAACCGTAATTAGAAATCCGTTTATTTTATGATTAATTTTATTTATTTATATCCGACTGAATATTGTTATTGCTGCCTTATTTTACCTCCCATGCATATTGGAAACATTTATATATGTATTTTGACTTTTTCTTGTTTAAATACGCCAAGCGCACGAAATAGAATAGTTCGATTTGGGGCGTCCGAGTTAATTTGGAACCTTAAATGGGAATTTATTTCTCTTGTGATTTATTAAACTTAATTTTATCCGATTAGTTGTAAGTACTACTACCCTTATTCAACGATTGTTTCCTGAGTTTTTTTTTTTAGATTTAGGTAGCATTTATTTGTTTTATTTATTTGCGTATTTTTGGTATTTTGAGTTAATACACCGTTGAGTAATTTATACTGGCTAAATAGCTTTTCCAGGAACTACCGTTTCATGAGTTTCTTGTTCTAGATTTAAATATTGTATTCAATTTTTTTTTTTAATATTTGATTCAATTCAACGTGAATCTATTTATACTGTTTAAATAGCTTCCCAGGAATCACTGTTTCATTACTTTTTATTTTTTAGACGTAAGTGGTATTTATTTAGTTGTTTTATATTTATTTTTGCCCATGTTCGACCGAAATTTGTGACCACTGTCCGAAATAAATATTACATTGATGTTTATCTTATCCATTCCGAATTTTGCCTAAATTTTCTTTCAGAAATATCTCAAGGCTATAAGGTAACTTAACCACCGAGTTTGGTGAGGGTAGGTATTATTATTGGTTTTGGATGTTTATTGATCTTTCCGTTTCTACCCCACTGGTAGCTGACCGTTTGAAAGATATTTTACTCCACTAAGTCTACATTGAGTACACTCAGGGTCGCAGAGCAAGCTGCGTTAGCAAAACTGGCGCCTGAGCAACCCTTATCCTAATTTCATCATCTCAGCGCCAAACACGACTTCCTTCTTCACAGTAAGTGAAGTGAAGCATGTCACAAATTGAATTAATAAAAAAAATTAAACCGACGGAAGTCGAACTCAAATAGGGGCTCTTCAGGCAGAGGCAGTTATCGTCAAAGTGATTTTTCTTATTAACAACGAAGTATTTATTTTTACAAATTTAATAAATGTATATTCGGTTAAGATTGTGAAATAGTCTAAATAAGTACCATAGGTGACAAATGTTTATTGGTGTGGTTTACTGAATGACACAATAATGTCACTTATGGTGTGAAATGTGAGAAAAATTTCGAAAAAAACACAATGCAAATAGAATGACACTTAGACTTACAGTATGCGTAAGTACCAGATAAGACTAAAAAAAATTAATAATGAAAAAAATGAGTTGTACTGGTGTTGTGGTTGGTTAAGATTTGTTGACAAAAAAATATATCACTTAAAATAAAGTGTTTTTTAATGTTTTTGTTTTTAATTATTAATTATTTATTCACAGGGTGTGTCAACGATCACTTTACTTCTCCAGATAGTCAGAAAGGAATTTTTCAAAATTTAAAAATCATCAGTTTTTTATTGGCAAGTGAATTGTCATATAAAATTCATACCTGGAAATCCAACCCCCTGGAGCCCGGCAGCTACAACTGTTTTTTGGATTGTAGAAGCTGGGTTGTAAAATTAGGTAGTAAAACTTAATTGTTCTCATAAAAATTTTAGAAAAAAAATTGAATTTTTAAATTTTCAAAAGGGAGAAAAATGGCAATATTCTAATTCATTTTTTGTTTGGGAATATTTTTTTTATGTCAAATTTTTTCATCAACATTGTTTTGTAAATATTTGTTTCACTGACTTTTGATATATAATGGCAATATTCTAATTCATTCTTTTCATCAACATTTTTTTCGTCAACTTTTTTTCAAGTAAATATAGTCTAATAACACATTGAAAAGATAATTATATGCAGAATTTAACGGTATGACTATTAATTCAGTTAGTTTGGATTTTAGCGCCCTCTAGAGGGACAAAAAACGGTAACGTATTATAAAACGTGACACTTCATTAATAATAATTTAATGCACAACATAACAAAATTTAATTGAATAAAATATGAATTGAAATAATTGAAAAATCTCGTAGAGCTAATTTTAAGAAACAAAAAGTGTTAATCAACCAAAATAACAAATTTATGCCACGCATTAAATTACTAATAACTTTCAAAGTGTCATACTTTACAATACGTTTTTTATCCCATTAGAGGGCACTAATATTAAAAGAAACGCAATTAATAGTCATAATTCTTCATAAAATTATCATTTCAATTATGTGTTATCTTGTTATTTTAAAAAAATAGGGGTTTCTGCCGGAGTTTCTGGGTATAAATGTTATAGGATTTATTCGTCCCCTTGCCAATAAAAGTTGAATTGAAGTGTTTTTAAAGTATCCTAAAGATGTTTTTTATAATTGTTTATACTGTACAAATTCTTCTGAAGAGATTATTAAAGAACATAAAAGTGGTAATTAAAATGTATATGTGTAATAATTTAAATACTTTATATTTATAATATTCTTCAATAAATTTTTGTGATTTTTTTGTTTTATTATGATTTATTCAGAAACTATCCATTCATTGTTTGGAGCAGCAGATTACAAGATAAATATTTGTTAAAAGAAATTGAGTTTTAGATGATGAATGGAATATTTTTACGGAGTGTGATGTGTCCTCAAAAAATAACGGGAATTTTTAATTTTCGCGGGCTTATGGAATCCCATTTCCAATTTTTTTATTTTGTTGGTACACATGTTCCTAAAGTATGTTGCCATTAGCAGCATTAGCGTCTATTTATTGTGGTCTACAAATGAACCCAGCATTGACCTTCAAATGATTTAGCGCGCGCAAAAGTGTCCGTTTCAATAATTTTAGCGATGTTGCCAATTGCTTTTTGTTATTTGTTCTAAATAAATATATTCATGGTAATACCGTTCTATATTATTTTTTGTTTATGAATAATATGAAAAATGATATTTTTATTTCTATAAATGTGGAGTTGTCAAACATAGTAAAAGAACGTATATAACAGGAATGACTTTTCATTTCAATTATTCAATTTGAGCTGTGTCCAGGCCGTTGGAGTCTATGCCGGTCGGCGTAGCCAGGTATGGGTTGATGTTTTTTGGTGGCGGCGAAGCCGCCACCCTACGATAAGTCGTTGCTTCGTTTTCTTGTTGCATATTTATGGACCGGTATGGGCAATCACAATTTTCCATTAACTACTAATTTTATCACAATTCGGCAATGTTGCAATTATATTTTCCAAATTTGACAGAACACATAACAAATTAACAAGCACGAACGAACTGAACAGCTATCGTTATCACTTCACCTTACTTCACTAGATGGCGCCACAGAAGCAGGTTCATTTGTAAAGCACAAGAAATAGACGCTAGTATTAGCAGCCATTTTGAATGTTAAGTTCATTGTTTATTTTCGACAGTCGAAAACGTTATACGTGTTTTGGTGTACTCGCCAATACTTTTTATGGACTTTTTACGAACTTTTTACGGACAAAATGGATCAAAGAATTTGTATAAAATATTGCTTGAAAAATGTAATAAAGTGCAGCAGTGCAGCACCTCATTCGAAATGTTAATCGTAGCTTTTGGCGAATCTACTATGAGTAAGACAATAGTTTACGAGTGTACATATATTTCAAATAGGACAGGCAGTGAAGAAGATCGCTCTGGTGACGTCCTAAAACATCAACAACCGGCGAAAACGTCGAACATGATTCTGCAAAATCGCCGAATCAGTATTAGAAAGGTTGCTGATGATGTGGGAATATCATTTGTCTCATGTCAAGCAATTTTTTTGGATGTATTGGATATAAAACATGTAAAAGGAATTGCTGAATGAAGTCATCAAAAATCTAGAACTTTTGAAAACGGTCCTAACAAGCGATGAAACTTGGATATATGGGTATGACATAGAAACCAATGCCCAATCGACCCAATGGAAGCTGGAAGGGCCATGATCGAAAAATTTCGATAAGTTCAATCAAATGCGAAGGTTCTCCTCACTGTTTCTTTGATTTAAATGGAGTATTACATCATGAATCTCTGCCATATGGTCGTAAATAAGGAATACTTACCTGTAAGTAATGCGCCGTTTGCGTGAAGCAATCCGTCAAAACACTCAGAATTGTAGCAAAACTACTCGTGGAAATTGCATTATGATAATGTTCCTCCTAACACTTCACTAGTTATTCGTGAAAAAAAAAACTGTTGTTTTGCAACAGCCACCGTATTCGCCCAACATGACTTCTTTCTATTCCCGAGACTGAAAAGAACCATGAAGAGACGACGTTTTGTCACTATTAACGATATAAAAACATAATCGCTGAAGGAGCTGTAGCGAAAAGTTAACTGCTTCCAAGATTAAAAAAAGTGGCTGGCACAAGTGTATTATACCTGAGGGGGATTACTTCGAAAGGTATAAAATTTATGTAGATTAATAAATAACGATTCTTTAAGAAAAACAAAAATTCCCATTATTTTTTGATAACACTTCATATTCATCTCTTCCAATGTATGCTACATAAATAGATTCTGACGATAATTTCGGCTAAATATCAATAAACAAAACAAAAAACAAAAATAGAAACTTACAATTGGCGGTTGAGTTTGTTCGGCGCTCACTAATTGACGATATTTGCTCATGTTTCTCGAAGGGTCCATGAGCTGCTGCAGTTCCGAAAACACCCTCTGGTATTTCCCGGGAAGTTTATCCCAACTTTGCCTTAATCTGGATACGGCGCCGTGACCCAATCCGCTTATGATGGCGAACATCGAATTAAAGTTTTTGCATTCCTTACACTGCCCTAAAAGAAAAAAAAAACAAAAATAGAGTTAAATTAATCTATTTTGGTAAAAATTGTAAGATAAAAACACACTGATAAAATGGTTAATTTTATGATACAACTATGTTAGATTTTTGCTTCATTACGAGTAAAATTATCAGTCTATAGAATTCATAAAAACATAAATCGAGCAGCAAACTTTTTATTTTCGAGAAGATCGATATTTTAAAAAGCAGAGTTAAGAAGTAAATTTCATTATACATATTTTTCTAAGTATCCCACTGAAATGTTTCTAAATTTTATTGGATATTTTTCAAATCAGAAGAATTACTATTAAGAATTGAGTCAGAGTAGAGATTATCCATCAAATTTTGTAATTTATTAGTAGGGGAAGCTGGGGTATAACGGACACGTTAAGGAAAACAAATCCTAATTCTCGTCTAAATAAATTTTTATAAAAATAACAAGTCGTGTTGCGTTGCTTACATGTTTATTATTAAAAATATAATAAAATGAAATAACGCAAAGGTTAAATTAACCACAAATAAAAAACTAAATGTCATATATTTGCTCGTTCTGCCCCGTTATGGGGGCAAAATGGGCGCACGGGAACGTTTCTTTATTTCACGACTTTTTTGTACTTATTTACAAAAATCACAAGCTTAGATTTTTCATGGGTATTTCCAATTAACAGGAGGAAAAGCGAGGTCGCCTTAAATCCCACTCTGTTTGAAGTGAAGTGTCGGTGGTAGGAGTATGTCGGCGTATGTTGGCGGATGAGATCAGTCGGCATGCTATTGCAAACGCCTTCTTCTACTTCTCTTATTCTCGCCTCATATGAATATTCTTCTTTCTGTTACTCCTTATAGTTTTGTACTATACCCAAGAAAAAATTTAAGCGACATAATTAAACTATGTTTGAATGAATGATTTAAAACATCAATATTTACTACTCACCACAATGTTTGAAGTATTGCACAATTTTGCAAGCACTTTAAGTATTTTGTGGAAGAAAATAACAAATTGTTACTTCACATATGCATAAAACAATTAAACATCGCTGACGGCTATAAACATGCTTTGACGAGATGGTGCCGGACGTTTTTATTAAGTAGGGGTAATGCTCTTTATGCTCCGGTGCCCATTATGCTCCTGCTTCCCCTACAATTTTTAACAACAATGTTGCCCTTTTTTTTGAGATATTTGTATTTGCCTCGCGTCGTTCCAGTTGCCTACACAATTTATGGAGTAATCCACAAACAAATTTTTATAAAGTATTTTACTCTTAACCATGCGAATTTATTGTATACAATATGTTAAGTTTGCCGCAATGACGGCAGAAGAACGGTATAGAATCCGCGATGCTATTGATTAGACAGAAGTAGAACAAAGTACGCCAGCCCACTAGTGGCAGAGGTGTAGCCGATTCACGATAGCCTTTCTTTATTCACCCCACATGCAAATATAATTAAGCGTTTCATCTTTATTTCGAAGGATCCATGGGTTACCATATTGTATACACCGTTTCGCAAACAAAAGCATCGGCCGAATGTGGTGAAATGAATAAGGCGTCTGCTACTGAAGCAAGTGATCGCGTTTTTCAGTCTCGGCACATACACTTTCTTGTTCTTTTTTAATTTCTGTTTTTCATTATACGTTTAATAATTAATCATAATAACGCTTACATTTACAGTGGAGATAAAAATGTAATTGTTGGCCCATTTATACTATGTACTTATATAAAAATCTTACCCCTACCGTACTCTATCGGAGGATGAAAGGGATGGCACCCTCTAAAATGAAAACTTTTTAAATCTACGATTTTTTTCTACATACATGTCCAAACATTTATATTTTTTTTGGGCAATACCTACAGAAAATTAAGAAAATCTATCAAATTATGTATGCAACTTATGACATCTTACTAATATTTATAAAAAAAAAAAAAATTGAAGTATGCATAAATTTTTACACGATTCAGGATTTAATCAGATCAATGAGAAAAAGCCATATAATTTTTAAAATAATAAGTAACCACAAATTTAAAATACACCACCTGTCTTAGAAATTTGCGTTTGCCGAGTTCCTTATAAAAAATTAGTATTAAAAAAGTAAGCAAAACATTACATAAAAATCATATTAGTAATGAAAAAAATCAAATAAATTCTAAACTAATTTACATAAAATAAAAAAAATAAAAAATAAATAAAAAGAAAATAAAAAATAAATAAAAAGAAAATAAAAAACTCAAAGCCAAATGCAACAAAATACGAGCGACCGTTTCCCTTCAGAAAACAACTATTCCTTAGACTAATACCGCAACAGGTATTGAATTAATCCAAATGAAAGACAGCAGAGATATAATATTATGATATAATAACACTGGCACACAAAAAAAAGTTGTCAGTACTTTTGACGGGACCGGTATATTTTTATGTATTTCGACCCGCTGAATCCGAATCTGAGGTCCGTTTGACCAATACACCGTCAAATTTTCGAGAAAACTTTGAAAAACTGCCGATTTTCATCATTTTTTTCGGTTTTTAAAAGTTTTCTCGAAAATTTGAGGGAGTACGGGTCAAACGGATCTCAGATTCGGATTCAGCGGGTCGAAATACATAAAAATATACCGGACCCGTCAAAAGTACTGACAACTTTTTTTTTGTGTGCCGGTGAATTAAACATACCTGTAAAAAGAAAAGAGAAATGAAAATATAAAAAAGATTGTATATTATGATAAAGTTATTAAACATACAAGGAAACAAATTAAAAAGATGTATGTAGAGTATGGAGTGTATCGATAATTGAATTCCTTGCTTCAATAGCAGAAGACTTATCCATTAGACGTTCATTCAAAGGTTCATTTGTGAGACGGTGTATATACTATATCTATGAAGACTAGAGAGAAGGAGGCGAATCGGCAATGGTCAAATTTCAAATTTCCGTCCTTCTTTTTATAAAATTCGCGAAATTGACTGTAGTTGGCATGTCTAATGATAACGCAGTCAATTTTCTATGTAAGTCAATCTAAAATAAAATGATTTTTTAAAAAATTGATGAAAAGAATCAAAATAATGTGAAAAAAGTACCTGAGTACAAGTAACATGAGTGACAAAAAACATCAAAGCAAGATTTACGTCGTTTCAGATTGTAAAACAGGATAAAAATCAATGTCTTTATATATATATTTATTGTAAACTAGTCACAATATGTATCTTACGAAGTGTAGTTTATTTTATTACAAGTTTCTATAATATAAAATTTTACAGTTATAGATGCAGACTTACAAACAATAATTATGCATTAAATTTAACTTACTAGAAAAGAAAATTTATTTTTTATAGAGTTTTAATGTTATATAAAGAGGTGCTACTGTTATTTTTTTTTGACCCCAATTGTGTCATTGTAAATGTTTTTTATGGGATACTAAACGTTTAGAACAGAGGCAGCATATATATCGTTCCTAGTGCCGATAAAGTACTTTCTAGAGATGATGCTGTTCTATACTTTTTAGAAGATATTATCAAATATTATGAGACTATTTTTACTGATGGTACTGTTAGCAAAATTAAAAGGGGAAAGCTGAAATTAAAGGATTAGGTAATACCATTTACATTCCCAAATAATTATATTACAACAATAAAAAATCTGTTAACTGTGTTTTATTTTACTCTTAAAACTATATATTGGTTCAATTAAAAAAAAAAAATTGCCACAAAATTGTACTTATCAAATTTCAGCAATTAAGAAACCTTTTCGAATTTGGTCATACATTCCTAAATTGTATTTTATATAGATAAAATTAAATAATTTATTAATTAAAATATGCAAGACTAATTTAGAAATAAATACAACAGTATGTTATGTGCTTTATTTAGCTGTAAACAAGTTTATTTTTATTATTTTGACAAAATTATGTATAATTCCCATAAGAAGCCATGTATTTTGAACAACGTATGCAGTACCAGCGCCCATGCGGTTAATTATAGAAGCTCAATTAGCATGCGTTTTTTGGGATCGTATTTTGAGTATGCCGATTCGTCTCCTTATCTCTAGTCTTAATAACTATATCATACTTCATTCAATCTTTAACTACATAAAACATAATTTCAAGACAGTGTTGCTATGTCAATCAGTAACGAATTAATAATGAATAGAATATTGCCCCATCTGTTGAACAAAAAAATTCGTAATAGGTACATGTCATCCGAGATGACCTATCAAAATTAGTTATTGTTCCGAATACTGGAGTATGTTGCTGTGGCCTTAACTTATTTTGAAAGTTAGTAAATAAACATAAATTTAAAAACCCTGTATACGTAATGAAAATGTTTGAAATGTATTTTACGATATGTAAACAAAGCATAAGATTATGTAAAACATTTTATTCCTTAAAAAACTGAGGCACCTGTCACACCTATAAATGAGGTCTTTTACTTAGCCTATGCAGGAACAAATAAATGATTATATTTTTATCTAAAAAGGTTAAATATTCTGAAAATCGAGGTCGTTAGTATTAAAACTTAAATAATTTTTATAAACGAACAATTTAAAAGCACTGGTGACTGCTAATCGTTGTTTGGTAACACATTTTTTTTTTGTCTATTCGTATTTATTTCTCTAAGTTCCAGTGTCGTTATGTCACACTATTTGCACTTTAATTAGTTTTTTTTTACTATTTTTTAAAGAATTTTCATATTTAGTACTTGCCTAGCGATTTTAAACTTGAAACGACGGTTTTCTATTGATTCTTGTCTGTATTTATAATAGGAACTAATATGATTAAAAAAATCTATTTAAAAAGATGAAGGTAAATTATGCCTACTAATTTTTTTTACCACTTTTAAGTAGAGAAAAATTAAAGAAGTGCAAACATATTACCAATCCACAGTAAGTTCGACTTTCCAAGTTTTAATTAACCCTAATACTCTTGGTAATACCCAAAACCTTCATTCTCGCAGCCAATTAAGCAGGCCACGTAATACAACAAACAAGAAACACAACTCACTTGCAACTTTGATAAACTGTTTAATAATCTTCATCCTCCTGACGGGGTTGTGTTCGGAGCACACTTCGGACACCACCCAGAAAGTTTCTTTGTTAACCAGTGCGGCGAATTGTTCTAACATCGCCGTGCCGTATTTTGATTTCAGTTCGAAGAGATCGTCGATGTACTCCGTGGGCTCTATCTGCCTGAAAATACTGAAATCTTGGAGGGTGAGCTGGATCGCGACTTCTACGGCGTTCAGTTGAAGGAAGTGCACCGCGGATTCCCGCACGAGTTCCGGCGCCAGTTCGTCAGGTACTAGTGTTTCGGTTACGCCGTTCTTTTTTAGGTAATACCTAAAATAAATAATTCGATACTAGAATAAAAGCTGGTGCTTGCACAGAGACATATTCAGTTTTTATTTACTGTTAAAAATATGTATCCAAAAATACTAAAAAAATGTTACTCCAATAATTTGAGATACTATTTCAATCTACATGAAAATAAAATATACTTTATATAAATTGAAAATTATTTCTGTAAGTTCACCTTTGATTCAGAAGACCTATTGAATAAGTCATACAGGTTATTAAATTAAATCATTTTTATAAAATATAACCATAAATTAAAAATTCACTGTTAGCCGAAAATATCGTATTTAAATGTTATATCCATTGCAGACTTACCTACTACTTAATCCTATTCTTTCCGCTAAATTTTGGAGATCGTCTTGAAGACGTTTCTGTTTGATAGTTTGGTTGTCCGTTACTGACACCTCGCAGAGGCTAAAATTACTGCTGAGGTCCGTCATTCCGAATTCTTTGATCGCGAGCATCACGACCTCGTGAGCGGTCGTTTCTTTGTTGACTGGGAGGTATTTGTAGCTTTGATCGGGTTTGTAGACCTGAAATGTTAAAACAAAAATTTGATCAAGTACACAAAAGATGTACCTAAATAGGTTCTTATACAGTGCAAATGTAATTTTGCCCAAATTGAGGTGTGGAAGTTTTAATGTACAAAGTTCTACAAGTACGTCTACAACCATATATATTGGTTTTGTTAAAAAAAAAGGATCTTATAAGATACGAAATAAGGTCGACCTTCGCCCATCTGCTTACCGTTCGAAAGGTATTTTTTATTATATAAAAATATGTTTATAAAAATATACTTCAAATGGGTTGCCTAAGAAAATACTGTCAAGACTATTTGTTTTCTTAAAGTAAGAAAAAACGACACCTTATAAAGTATACTCCAGATGCTTCGATTCCGCAGGATGGATTAAAGCTTAAGTTTAAAATTTGGTGATTTTATCTTTATCCGTTTTTGAGTTTCTAAATTCTAAATTTGCACTTTCCCTCAAATATCTCGAATACGGTTAATTTTAGGAAAATCTTGTATGGAAGAAGAATTATAGAGAATAACATCACAAGCAACTTTTATCATTATTCCTATACTTTCCTTATCTGTATACAGAAAGGAAAGTAAAAATAGCCTTGACAGTATTTTTTTAGGCAACCCATTTGCAGTATATTTACTAATATATTTTATTTAATAAAAAATAACTTTTATCCGGTAAGCAGATGACCTTCCTTTGTATACCGTACTAGGAAAAAACAGCGAATTTTTCAAGTATTATGACAAAAATGTTGAGCAGTACCGTTGTATGTTATAAATATTTTGTCAAAATTTACAGTGGCAAAATAATGTAACATCTATGTACATTATTTTTCCATTGAAGTTTCTTTAAATTTTGATAAGCAATACACAAAGGAACATGCAATTGTACACCGTTTTGCCGTAGTTTAACCTCACTTTTTAAAAAATCGGGTGACATATTTCAGATTTCTTTAGATATTTTTGTTGACTTGAATAAAAATTATATGTTGTCATGGATGGAATTAATGTTAATATTAGAAAATATCTCCATTTTTTAAACTGGTATATGATTTTCGTTAGATTTTTAGACAATCAATATTATTTGTGAGAATTAATTCTAAATATCTAGAGAGATAAATATTTTATATTTAATAAGTTATTATTTTGCAAATAAAATATAGGTGACAAATTTTTTTGGTGCTACGCTACGTGCGCTGATTTGGTTAAGGTGTAACGAAGTCACTAAATTTTATTTTTAATTAATTTTAAAAATATATATTTCAATTAATTCCCGCCTGAGGACATGTAGAAGATCCCCCGTATTTTTTGTTTCCCAGGAATTCCCGTTTTTCAACAATTGCGAGCACCCTCGTAGGTTAAAATATTTCTATATTTGTCGAAATCCGAATGGGCATTTTGTAGAGTCGATTTCGTATCAATTATCTGCTTGTATTTGTCAAGGTACTAGTAGGACATTTTTTTATTTTTAAAATGTAAACAGCGGGCTGTAGTGGTGGTACCCCCCCACTCCGGATTACCGGTCTTCCAGCTTGCCTAGGGAAAAAGCCTAAATTCGATTACAACTGATAATGGTCCTCTTTGATTTCCGGCCACCGTGGGCTGTCCGCTCTTCTCTCTTCTATTACCGACGAGTGACGAACCCAGTTAGTGACCGTGTTGTTGTTAGCCTGCTGAACAACCCCGTTTATTTTTCTAAGGTAGGGAACCGAATATTATTTTTTATTTACAATTAGTTTGGGACACCCGTCCGATAAGTGAAAGAATTTTGATTCATGCCCAGTATTTTTCATTTCTTCCCTTAGTGGGAAACCGTTGGCAATTTTTTTATTTGAGACTGGATATAGGCTAGACTGCGAGTGTACTCCGTTTTGACAACTCTATCCAATCTCTTTTAAAAAGCGCCCAGTTAACATTGGAATGAGAGGTTCAACCCGTTTTCATTTTTTTTAATTATTCGGAGGTTCGATCCGTCCTCGAGTTACGAGTGTACTCTGTCTCGACGTCGTTATCTAATTTCCCAAAAAGACGTCTAAATTAATTTTCGCGCCTCACTTCATGTAAGTTTCTTTTTCTTTTATTTATTCATTCAATTATATTTGAATCATTCCGTTTTCCGTCACCAACTAATTATTGAACAAAGCCCGACGTTTTCTATCATAACTAATTCACACACCGTTTTGATCGGCTTTGGCAAATATCAAAATAATCTTTTCTATACCCATCGCATTCTTTGTCCAACCATCGCCGTAAATCATATCATTCTCGTTCGACGAAATTGCCAGCGTCGATCGGCCGGAACTAAGATAGAGGGGGATTCAGAAAACTTTATTCAAATTTATAGGAGGGTTTTCCCTTTACTGGACTTACATTGTAGATGGATTAACTGTAGTCATAGTAAATTTAATTTTTCTAATATAGATAGTGTCGTAACTACCTGTTCTCTTTTATTTTTTTTTAACTTCTCAGTTGGTCAACCGTATAGTTAAAAATTAATTACTTCGTTCTAATTAATTACAGTTTTTTTTTATTATTTTGACCAGAATATTTAATTTAATTTTGTGTATTTGGGAAATATACTTTCTATTGTTCATAATTTCCGATTTAAATATTTTTCCAGTACTAGTAAAAGGTAATACGTACTTTAATTTCATTTATTTTCTTACATTTTATTACCGTCATATTTAATCAATAATTTATTTTTAAAATTAATTTTCCGTATACAGGGAGTTTCATAATTTCCGGACCGATTAGCCTCCTGTGCTAGCGAACCGCAATTATTTCCCTTTAGTTTAATAATTTATTTTTAATAAATTTTCCGTATACTGGGAACCATGAATATTTAACTAGTTTTCAATTGTAATAATTTATTTTTAATAAATGTTACGTATACAGGGAACCATAAATATTTAACTAGTTTTTCAATTGTAATAAATTATTTTTAATTATTTTTCTGTATATAGGAAACCGTAATTACTTTCCTGTAATCTCATTCAATTGTAATTATTCATTTTAATTATGTATTTTTTTCGGTAAATATATATTTTATTATCTATTCCTGCTGCTCTTAACCGTTCTCTTTCAGGGTACCGTAGGGTACGAGGTGTAAAGGAGATAAGTGTTTTATTTTTATTTATTCTAGTTTAGTGGCTACCTAGTTAGCAGTTACCGCCCGGAAATATTTTTAACTCCAATGAGTTTACCTTGAGTACACTCTGGTGTACTACAGGGTCGCAGAGCAAACTGTGATACTAAAACTGGCTCCTGAGCAACCCCTATTCGGGAATGACCATCTTAGCGCCACACAGACTCCCTGAGTCACTGTAGGTGAACCAGAAGCCTGTCACAAAGGGTGGTTCATTTATCTCCAGTTAAATCTTGTTACAAAGAGATACAGAAAGCCTCATTATTTGGTTGAATAATTACACAGGCCAAAATAAAAATGGGTCTTTTATTCTGCTTTAACTTTTTATATCAATTCTGAGTATTGCGCAATTAAAAAATAACTCTGAAATGCCTTTTAACTGGTCATACATATATGGCCGAGGATGGAATTCATGAAAAAATAGAGAAATACTTAAAAAATGCATTTTGTAAAGACTTCAATGATTTTACTAACGTATGTAATAAAACAATGTCCATAAGTTTCCATAAATTTCTGATTTTATGAAATCTGAGAACTTGTGTAAATATACCTAAACCCCTTACTACATTTCGTGGAGTAACTATCTCCTAAAATAAGCTGCTATAAAACAAAAAGAAAATTATTTTGGAAAAATTTGCTAACAAATTTAAATGTCACAATTTATTGGATGAAGAATACTAATTAAATCTTTTGCAATTTTGAATTTTTTAGCTTCTTTTTTTAGAAGACAGTACGATTTATAAAAAGTCAAAAACAATTATTTTATAAAATTGATTTTCGGGACGCATAATATAAAGGAACAAAAATGTAATCAAACGAAAAGCAGAACTAAATACTAAACACTTAGTGGAGTATCCCCTAAAAAATGATGCTACTATGAAACTTTAAAAGCCACAGATATTTTGAATTTTTTAGCTTCTTGTACGAATGCCATTTTTAAAAGATAAAGTACGTTTTATTGAAACACTTTGCCAACAAATTTAAATGACACAGATTTAAAGTATAATTTATAACCACCGTAACGTAACATAACTTAACGCCGTAGAAACTTAACCAAAGATAGAAAAATAAAGTCTATTTATAAATGTCCGTAACGTAAGAGTTGAGCATGCGTGTTGATTTCAGAGATTATCAAACTACTGACAACCTTATGAAATAAACAAGTGTAAACTATGTACCTAACCTCTAAATAAAACTTATAAATTATGATTTTGCTATATAAAAGAATATATTAACTATTTCAAAAGCAATAATATAAAAATATAATAAAACAGAATAGTTTACCGAAGATGTTGATTGTTTTTGAGCAATAATGAGAATTTAATGTTTCCTAGCAAAGTAGTTTTGTGTCTTTTTTTAGTTCTAGACTTGATATTTATAAGTATATTATGTGCAACACTCATATCTCATAAATAGTTTATCCCCAATAACATAAACACAAATCATTCATTACAATGTATGTCCTTCAAAAAGGAGAATGATAGTTTACAAATGGTATTTGTTCATTTATTTATAAAAAGAGAATAATTGACAATTATCACATGCTGAACTCAGAATTATCTCATTGGCTAACCGTAAGGTCTTAAGTTAAGTTAAGTTGTTAAGTTAAAAGTTGGCGAACTTTCTACGGTACGTTTAAGTTCTTAAGTTACGTTACCAACATTATAAATAAGTAGACGTAAATTCAATATTTCAACTTCTTACGTTAAGTTCTTAAGTTACGTTACGGCGGTTATAAATTAAGCTTTATGGATGAAGTAAACCGCTTACTATGCTTAGTGGATGCTACTATGAAAGCCTATTTCTATTATTTTAACTAAATAGTTTCTCTTTTATATCATATCAAAACAATGAACAAAAAAAACTTTCTGTACTCTACATAATTTTGCCCAAGTTATTTTGACAATTTTCTTTTTTGGAAAAATGATGAACAAAAAAGAAAAGTTCCTAATAATACGGGAAATTTAGCTAAATAATATATTATTCAGGTAAAAATCTAAATTGCGAATTTAAAATCATTTGTAAAATTTTTAACAATTTGGCAAACAATTTAATTTAAAATCAATTTTTGCTCGACTTCTCTTTAACATGGGTTATGTTGATTGTAAGAGAAAGTTGACAGCATATTCACCAACCTATTTTGTTTTGACAAAAACTTTTGAACTTTTGAAATCTCTTCACATAAAACGATTTCTGTATTTGAGTAAATCATTATTTTACAGTTTCATCAAACCAAATACATCCGTTTCATTTTAAAGGCATGACAAAACTATAAACCTCTAACTGCTTGTAGCTAAACATAACGGATATTACCTGACTTTGTGAAGGTGTAAATTAGTAGTAGTTAGGAAGACATTTTCGAAGTTCCAATGAATTTAAATTAGTGAAATGACTCACTAACCGCACAAGTTGTAAGAAGAAAGGAAAAAGCGATGTGACAAAACAATATCCTAACACAATAGGCGATATATTTAACTTAACGATCCACAAAGTATTGAACTTGTCACGGTATCAACTTTTCAAGATTATTGACAAACAATGTACACATAACTGTTACATATACATGGGAGTAAAGATAATTGGACGTGTTTGTCACAGGCAAAATAAAACAAACCAATTTATTATGCTACCGAGAACATTTGAATAAGAACATTAAAAACACACTTTTAATTCTGACGTTATGGGATTATAGTGATTTGTGTGACTACTGTTATATACGAGGGCTGAAAGCAAATTTTTATTATGTTTTTTAATCACATATGTCTTGGGAATGTGGGTGACCAGTTACAAAACAATTGACGTAATATTAGTTCTCTATTATCTGTCAGTTTGTATTCTTATGTATTAAAATGACAAAGTCGAATACTGAGTTGTTATTAAGATCCTTACAAAACAACGAAAAATTATTCTTAAAGTATACGGAGATGATTGTTCTTGAAGTCAACTATTTTGGAATAGTCAAAATTGTTTAAACATAGTCGATAATCATTGGGTGATGATTCCCGTCCAGGGTATATATTCTTAAATCTGAGGGAGTAGAAAATTTCAGGGATGAATGTGATAGAAATACAAATTCTTTAAATTGAAGATGAATAGCTACCCTAGTAGCTCTCTTAACGTGGTCACATCGGATGTTATAAAAAAAACAAGTTTTTGGTACTGGAGGATGCAAGAATAAAGAAACGACACTCAAAGTAAAAAGGCAAGGAAAACTGATGAAAGGTGTCCTGTTGCTCCACGACAATGCACCAGCATCCAAGTTAATGAATTTTAAAAGCTGCATTACTGAAGGTGCTTTCGTAGAAATTGACCATCCGCCTTATAGTCCAGATTTGACAGTCTCTGACAATTTTTTTGTATCCAAATCATAAAAACACTAAGAGGGATAACATTCAGGATAGCTGCTGTTTAATACCATTTTGTGGAAAAGAGATTATTTTTATGATGAATTAAAGTTGTTATAAAAACTTATATTCATAAACAAGGAAGACCTAATCCAGGAACATAAAAACGAACCTCGTATATAGGGTGAATCCTAACTCGATACTTTTTTAACTCAAAAATAATAAACTTCCATTAATTTATTCCAATACGGTCCTGTCTAATTAAAATAATGTGTAGAACTCTCGTCAGCAAAATTAAATGCTGATCACATTCATGCCATTGTAAGACCCATTCACTAAAATGAACTAATCCCACCTGATCTGCAATAACCCGCGTTAACATTTAAATTATGTTCATCTAAACGCACTTTTCAATTTACCATAAATACTGAACAAATAGTCAGATAAACACACTACTGAAATCAGATGACACACGATTGAGGTACAATACAATAAATCGGATTCATACATAAGAAAAACAGAAAGAAAGGATAATAACATGAATATAAGTTTTAATACACAAGTCTAGACCCGGATTTAGATTTTTTAATTACTATATATATCTTATTTTAACGACTTCTGCACACAATTAAAAAAAGTACCGACTTAAGATTCACTCAGACCAGGAAGACTCTATAAAGAACATACTACCATATGAGTACCTTACAACGTTTTATCAAACAGTTGCTTTTATCACATTTTAAAATAAAGTTAATAGTTTTTTGTTTTACAAAAAAAGAGATATATTTTTACGTACCTTTAACACATGTTCCGGATAATCCGTTACTCTTAAGTCATCATAGCAAATAGACATTAAATCAGGATTACTCTGTGACTGGTAGAGATTCGAACCCAAAGTCGAAGGAGGATTAAAACTATCCACTTGATCATGACCCAAGCCAACGCTACAAATATATCGTAATTAGAATAATCATTACAAATAATATTACAGTTTATTTCAACTTACTTGATCATGTTTTTAGGGAATATACTCATCTTCATCAAAGCCTTCTGCAGTCGTCCCAAAGTCATGAAACTCTGCTTCTTGCTTTCCTTCGCGGGGCTGCAAATAGTGACGGGCTGTGAAGAGGGAGGCTCGTGGGTAAGAATTAGGTTTCCATCGACACTAGACAGCCTCGCTCTCGGATCAGGAGGAAGTTTTGTAATCTCCGAAACCTTCCGACTTCTAGGTCTAGGCGAGTTATCTGGAGTGTTAAGCATCTCTTTAAAATGCAGTAGATTCGACTTAACCGTGATACTCAAATGAGTAGTCCCGCGTAGGATATCCAGAGCTCTCGCCAAAGACATGTGCTCGAAACTGTGATTGTTAACTTCGAGAATTTGATCGCCTCGCTTCAATCCGACATCCTCAGCTTTCGATTTCTTATCGACCTTTGAAATGAAAATACCGAAATTACGTTCGAATCCTCCAACTATCTGGAAACTTAATGGTTCGTCTCTGTTCGGTCTAGCTAGAACCACGTTACGTATCCTAGCTTTAGCTGCACAAGCTATGTTCAAAAGGCGCAGTTGTCCTACCATTTTTTCGCCTTCAAGACCTTGTTCGAAAGTTTCCAGGAATTCAATCATATCTGGATCCGTTTCAAAATCGGTAAAATGATTGTTAACCCACAGCAGAACCACTCTTGTAACTCTATCTCGAACTTCAGTATCTTTGAACCAATTCAAGAGTTGGTTGGCTACGTACAACGGACTTTGTATAAACACTCTATGGGTTAACAAGAAGTCTTCTACGTAAGTTGGATCGGTAAGTGAGTTTTCTTCGATTAATTGTTGCATAAGCCGATCTGGTGAGCCTCGTATGACAACGTGTCCTCGTCTGTTACTGCCAGGTTCCATGGAACCCCTTAACTCCGTTATTAAGACTAGCTTACCGTCTTCTTCATGCCGTCGTGTATTTTCTTCACCTTGATGTAATATTCTGTAATAATCCGATTGGGTAATACAAACGAACTGGCAATCGTCACATTTCGTAATCATAACTCCTTTGTGGTAAAGTTTGTCCATTGTGGGCAGAATGCCGAAAGCATCACCCATATAGAGAGTCTGACTCGGCTCGTCTGGTATAACCACCTCTACGGATCCGTTAACCAGTACCGACCAAGAGTCTAGTTCCTCGCCGTCGTTCATAACTATGGTTCCCGCTTTTTCTACGACCGCGAATACCATAACGGCGCACAGAGCTCTTCTGACCGCTAGCGTCATGTTGGTGAAGGCCTTCAAGTGTTGCGTGAATTCCAAAAGGGCCTCAATGTCATCTTCAGTTCGTTCTGAGGGTTCCTTTTCTAAGCAGTCTCTTACTCTGTCCCGTACGGTTAAACTCTGAAAAGTCATTTCCATTTAAAAACACAGTACAATAGAATAAAACCAAGAAGTATCTAGCATATTCTACGATCTTTCAGGTTATGCCTAATGTAGAAAATAACTCGCTGCTAGGTCTTACAACTTATAGTGAAAGAAGGGGTTGCGATAGTTTAAGGATTTTACAACAATTAGTCGCTTTATAAACAGAAGAAGACATTACACTCTCTTTAGAGAGATAATTAGGAAAGTTTTATCACTATCATAGAGGTAATAGATAGGTAGATGGGTATGTTATGCGGTTATAAGTAGCATGAGGAATATCTGCATCTTTATTGATGACAAAAAAAAAATGGAAAGCATAAACATTTTGTTTACTTACATCCATACTTTCCGTCAAGTCATCTTCTTCGTCGCTGTCGACGATGCTCTCCACGAGCCCGGTGAGATCCAGGTCATCGCCGTCGGAATGGGTGGAGGCCATGGTGTCTGATCCGCTATACGCGGAGCTAGTATCTGATGAATGAGAACCTCTACTGCACTTGTGATACAAATTTTGTCTTGGGATGTTTTGTGCATACTGAAAAAAAATATAATATTGAATATTATACTAATCAAAGAGCGTGTAATGGTGTGGCTATTACCGACAAAGATTAAATTTAAAGCATCAGCGAGCTAAAAAAAGGTGTATTGAAAAATTTTAAAGTAAAATTGTCCAATACACCTTTTTTTATTTATGATCAAAATGACAAAAAGTTTCGCTGTTCACAAACATGTTAATTAATCTTTGTGACAGTCTGTAAATATGCCTATCAAGACTGCTAGAACAACTAAAGGAGACGATGAGCGGGCGGCGGCCCAAGCGGTGCAGTGCATACAAACTATTTACTATTTAATAATTAAAATTACCGTTATTATCCATAAAATGTTATTTACGTATATTTTAGAATGTCTAAAATAATTTCTGTTAAATGTAGAGGAGATACTTGCATTTTCTGACGGTTCAGCAGCTCTACAGCACTTATGCACAAGTCGTCACTGCTCATTACCTATATACAGGGTGTTATATGGATTTTGTATGAATTTTTATCTGGCCAAAAGTCAATAAGTAACCATTCTGTATAAAAATGTAAAAATTGTCAGATAGAGTATCTTTGATATGGCAAACATAATATAGGTCCCGCTTAACAAAATTTAGCCATATCTCTCCTCTTAAAACAATACCCTGTACAATTAAATTTTGCATATATAGGGTATTTCAAAAGAGTGAAAATAACTGATTTGGAATACGGTTTTCTTAAATTTGCGTATTTTTTGTGAAAGTATTCAACAATTTCTCAACTTTCAAATAAAAATATATTTTTGTTGTATTTTTCGAATGTCTCAATTTTGCTTTATTTCAGTAATTTGTTTTACAGGTCCATGTTTAGTTAAACCATTATATTTTTTAAATTAATTTTTAAATACCCTGTATAAAAAACTAAATAGTAAAACAACCGAATCTAACCTAATAACTGTTCAAAGCGACAACAATTTATAAAATAAAACCATGTTCACAAGAAAACTACAAGACTGAATAACTAGTATCATAAAGTCTGTAAATTGTGTTGTTTGCTAAACAATCATCTGGATCCATCCAATTGAGAATAGACGAACAGGCGAAGCATTATCGACTCGGTAACTCAGTATGTTCGAGCAACTCATATTCATTTATGGGCCCTTCAGTGGTTAGCGGACGCGGTATTCGAATCCTAGAGCAGACCATGCGAATTTTTAATTAATTTGCATGGTTCGTTATAAGATTTGATGGGTGCCGTATTACCAGTAATTTAATTTACGTTGATATTGCATCCAGATTACAAATCACAGTGTGTAATCGTTTCGATGATGGTCGATGGAGGTTTTCCGAATTTTCCTAACCTGTATATCAAATCAATCACCTTTAAGTCGCCCCGACAAATATTAATAATAATAATAACGTCTCTCTTCCGCATGAGCTCAATCTGCTTCAGAGGTGAAAATTCACTCGTAAGGGGGTGAATTAGAGAGAGTATATTATTATTAGTAATATTGGGGCATGTAGTTGCAGCAAGATGGTTACAATAATTGTAAGAGATTTTCTATAAGATAGATCGTAGTGAATCTCTTCAAGGAGGAAGGATATTTGTATATATGTACGTGAAGTTATGTTAATTTTTTCTTTAATTGATGTAATTGTAATGCGAATTAATTTTTTTTAAATATTCGTAATATTTAAAGTAATTTAGGTGGACTGATGAAAAAAAAATTGTCATATTCGCTGGCCTCTCTACTTCTTACGCCTGCCAAGTAAGAATACGTTGCCACTTTACCTCTTAATCAGGCTCGTGTAAAAATATTTCGGCATAAGCCTACACATATACAAATATTTGGGTCCTTTACCTCTTAAACTTGAAGATGTAAAAATATTTGGCATATTTCTACCTTAATCCTGTCCATATAAAAATATTCTAAGCCTCCCATATTAAAATATGTAAGCATATTTGGGCCATTTACCCCTTAAGCCTGTCCGTATAAAAATATTTGGCCCCGTTAACCCCTAAAGCAATCCAGATGAACATAATTGGCCCAATTACCCTGTATGCTTGGTCATACAAAAATTTTGTCCTTTTACTCCTTAAACTTGCCTGTACAAATATATTTGGGATATTTACCCCTATATTATTATGTAAAAATAATGTTAGGGATATTTACCTTTTTAATCGCAATATCAAATTCTGATACGATTTCCATTCTGGCATTCGTTAAAGATGGTGCAAAAATCATCCTATATATTATTGGCGTAATATCCACATTTATTTCATCTTAAAACTATTATTTTCATTCATCACTTCCACTTACAATAAATAACATTTATTTGAGAGCGTGATAGCAATACAGAAAAAATATCTGCTTCCAAAGTTGACAAGCATGGCCACGCGTATTGTAAAATCAGTACCCTTATTGAACTGCATAAAACCTCTCAAATGTGGTCATCTTCAATGAGAACAATGAAACCAAGATTTCGAGTTTTATTTGTCTTTATGCATAAAATAAGCTCCATAAGAAATGAATTGGACTTTAAAAACATTGATATTTAAAGCACTAAAGTTAAACCGAAATTTTTGAAAATCAATAGCGTTCTCAGGTGGAAGAAATTATCAGAGCAAATTAAAACCGTAAGCAAATCGGAGTTTTCGTTCTAGAGTTATCGTGTCGAGGCACATGCACAGGCGATTTTTTTCTTTTTCGTTTTCGGAATAATCGGAAAAGTGTTAAAAAGTAGTGGTAAGAAATTTTTTTCGTCTTCACGAATGAAATATTGAGATACGTAATAATATACATTCATTATACAGGGTATTTAAAAATTAATTTAAAAAATAAATGGTCTGTAACGGACCTGTACATATTTCAATAATTTGAAAAGTACCTACAAAAACAAATATTTTGCTAAAAACAAATAATTTTTAATTTCTAAAGTTCGCATTTGTTTAAAACTAATTTTGAAAAAACATTAAGACATCTAAAACAAAAAGAGCAAATTTAAAAATATCCTAATCTAAATAACTTTTGTCCGCTCTGAAAATATCTTATTAGATGGTATGCAAAATTTTGTTATTTTTCAGGGCGGAATCAAATTACCAAATTTTGTTAAACCAGACCTGGACTTTAATAATGATTTCTAGAACATTATGTTCATTATATCGAGGAAAATATTAAAATATGCCAAAATTTTAATTTTTATACCTAAGTAGTTGTCGCAAAATTGGATCCAGAGCAAATGGACGGTCAAAAATAACATGTAAGTAAAATCTGTAATTTCTGTCCTACCAGATAGCATAGTGTAAATTCGGTCCCAGCGACCCCTTGAGTAAACAAATTAAAACAAGTCGAAGGATTTTATTAATTTTTAAATCAACATTGAAAGGATCATTTAAAGAACTGCAAACTAAATTACTAAAATATTAATTATTTGACAATTTGGTAAACATATACCGTAATACTTGGGAATTCTTAATGATTACCTAGGGTAGGTACATGTAAATATGCAATAATTAACGATTAAAAAACTTAACTAAATTGCATAACCTGTGCGGCCTAGAACATGGCGTGTTGCTTTGCAAAAAATATACATGAAAAGAGAAAATTTAACTAATTTACCTAACCTGTGCGACATAGAGCCATCGTGGGTTTATTCGCAAAAAAATTACACATAAAATGAGAAAAACTTTGTTAGGTATTTTATTGAATTTGGTAATTTGGAAAAACATATCGTAATACTTGGAATTTCTAATAATTTCCTGCAGCAGGTACTTTCATCCGAAACAGAAAGGTACAGGCAGTCAAGAACCGTTGGGATTAAATTTACCAATCGATAAAGAGGCTTTAAAATTAAATATTTTATCTATGACCTGCCGGGATCCAAATTGCCAACACTCGTTGAGTTTTGACCAAATAAAATTAAGACGAAATCCATAAAATATCCTGTATCTAGATAATTAGACACGATAGATCCAATAATAAATGGGCGATTATGTACATCTCACTCTGATACACCCTATACCTAACTGTATAATTTAGATTAAAGTGTTTTCCTTTTGATTATTAAATATAGAGGAAATTACATTTAATCGCTTTATTAACTGCCGTGGCAGTAATTGTGATAAGTATCAAGATTACAATATTAATTAATACGCGAATTATTTACTGTTATCAGTTTATTAGTGTTAAGAAGTACATATTAAAAATAAGAAGATTAATTTTCGAGAATGTTTTAAAATAAATCATGCTTATATCAAACAAAAAGTACATAATTATATTTTTCTCTTACAAACAGTATAAAACTGACAATACCAATAAGCTACCTAGTATTATAATTTTTTTGAAATAATTAAAAAACTTTTTAATCGTGCGTTAATTTTGAACAGAACTGTATAATAATTTCCGAAAAATATGAAAATATCTAATAATCAAAGGTTTATCAATCAAAAATGTTTACAGTTTTGCGTTTACCAAAATTGAAATTTCATATACTTACAGCATCTTCAAACATGATGTTGATACTTCTATGCTGCGGATGATCCATCAGCGGTGAATTTTGCAATCTTCTTTGTTCTATATCTGGATAATCGATCTACAATAAAGACAAAAAAAATGTAAAACTTCCAAAAATTTTCAAATTTTAATCGCAAAACATCAATCACTTTAATGTACCTCCTTTTCCTTTATCCGATGACATTTTTTCTCCAACAACGAAAAGGTCCGCTTCAAAAAACTGTGTCTCTTATTATTATTGCTCATGTCGGTTATTCATCTACGACATTATTAATAAATAATCCCAGTTTCCAACAGATAAGCGAGATAAGATTTTGAAACTTATCGTAAATAATGCAGATCCGATTTGACTACTATAGTACTACAAATGTTTATCTTTCTTATTGCTCGGGGTGCAAATTGTTATCGTATTACCGAGAATGTAGAGTTCCGATAGTAGATGGTTAAATCAAACTTTATGATTTCGAAAGAAATTCGCATACATAAGCATCTCATCAAAGTTAAGATGAAATTCATTTTTTTTTAAATTAAAATTAATCAAAGTATTTTTTTATACTTATATATTTATTTGAAAAGTACTCGAAACTGACATTCCGAAACAATTTATAAAAATTAAAGATAACAGCAGGATATTTTTATCATTAAAAAAAAATACGAATAATATTGACCATGCAGTATTTCAAAAATAAAAATATTTTCACATATTGTATAAAATAATATTTAAAATTATAATTTTCTGGGAAAATTATAATTTTTTCTTAGCCAAAATATATCCAGCGTCCTCATTTTTTATTTTTTATAATATATAAAGCTTTTGTTCGAAATTTTAAAAAATACATAATTAATTAAACGTATACTTTAACAATTTGTATATAAGAAACCAACTACAATTAAGTATTTCAACAATGATTTCTAATCAAATTTAATTACTTGCAAAGGTTCATTTAGTTCTGTCATGAAATGAATCTAATATTCCAAAACCCGAGGAAGAAAATTATTCAAATTTTTCTTTCGCCCGACCTTTTCATCCGCCCATGGCTCGTTATAATTTCTGGATTATTGTTTATATTGCTCCTTATCTCATTCCTTATCTTATAAATAACAATTATAATTCGTTGTCTACATCTCTTAATTATTTTATGTAATAATAATAACTGTAGAAAGTTTTTATATCTAAAATGTTCTCGATAAGCACATACTGGAAAACAAATTTTGTATTTTGTACCATTGTGTGTTTTTTTTAATAACATTAATGCAATGAAATTTCTTTTTCACAAATATCAAACGTTTGTAGTCAAAGTTTTGATTTACAGCTCAGCGACGAGAGGATACTATCTATATCTGACAAACAAATGGATGGATTTTGTTAAAAAATGGTAAAATTAGTAAATAGATTATGATCTTTCCATCTAAAATATTTTGAAGTATATGTCAACTTTCTTAATTTAAATGCGACTCCCCTATTTTTATTCCGGATTCCAATAGTACATTAAATCAAAGCTTTTATTTAACAGGCATCTAACGCTCGAGATAAACAATTGCATATTCAGGGGGGAGGGGGAGCTCCGAGGCACGAGGAGGGTAGAGCTCTTGGTATATCTGATATCTGACTCTATTTAAGTGCTGCACGTTCAGGTCTGCACTTAACGAGTGGAATATAATACATGTAGTTGAGTAAATCCAAACCGCTAATTTCAACCGCCCTTAAACACTGTGTTTATGTATGTACTAATTTCATCTAGCGTCGTGGAAGGCGTCGATGTAGGTACGTCGCAGGGTTGGGCGTCGAGGCGCCCATCGTCGAGACGCCTAGCGTCGTGGTGGAAAGGAAGGTATTTAATACGGTACTGATTGGGACAGATATACGGTAGAATTATGAAGGTGGTGCGGGACGTGATTTTATGAAGGAAATATTTGGGGACGGCAAGCGTCGAAAATAAGGCGTGGGACGTTGAGCGTCGAAATGAATGTACGGTAGGAAATACTTAGATGATGAGGAATGTGACAGCGTTCGAGACGTAGGGAGTAGGACGACAGGACGTTGGGCGTCGAGACGGAGATACCTTCGGGGATAGGAGGTATTGTAGGATAGACGTCGTTTAGGAAGAGCGTTTTAGGAAAGTTACTGATTACTGAACTTGAAATATAACTGGATACAAATAATAAATGAATGTTTGCACATCAAATAATTGAAAATGAATGACCCGAGCTCATTTTTGTCGGGCTTTTTATAATAAAAGTTTTAATGGCTTTGTGACGTCTCTATGTCTTAGTTCTCATAGAAATACGGTGGGTCCAGGGGGTGGGTTATTTATTACTTGCCTTGAAAGCTTTGTGTATCAAAATATTGTCGATATCGGTCTTAACATCGAAACTAGAAAAATAAGCTAGTTAAGTAATTTAATGATAATTACTTCGTAAACAGAAATACGCTTTATGGTGTTTTCTTTGGGCTGATTCTCAGAGAGACGTAGATATATTTTAGATCTTTACGGACGTGGTTGTAGCTATTATTTATTAGGTGTCGTAAATAAGATTTAATAATCTGGGAGATTTTTCATTAAATGAAGAATTTTGAATTTAATAAGAATGTAATATTGTATTTAATAAATGGAATTAATAAATTATTAAGGTACCTGGGTGCGGTCAGATTTTTGAAAAATCAAATAGCTTCGTCCCATTGTAAAACTTAATTTTTCTTGAAAATTTTAAGTTCATATTGTTTTTAGTGTTTTATAATTTTTTTTAACCCCCATTAACCCCTCCATTTCGGGAACAACATATCAACTATCAGTTGAAAGTGATAACAGGGTTCCTGACTGGGCACGCCCCAGTAAACGGATACTTGAACAAAATTGGCATGTACAATGGGGAACCAGAAACGGCCAAACACATACTGTGCGAATGCGAAGCTCTAGATCGCAAAAGACAGGGTCTTTTTGGACAACCCCAGGTTGATCCAACAACGTATAGAACCCACTCACCCAAGGATCTGTACAAACTTGTACAAGGTACAAAGGTGACAGAGTGGGTGCTATGAACTAACATGGGGTAAAACACAATAAGCCAATAGGCTCCAGTGTTATTCGGAGACACATAATCAGACGAGCCCCTTCATTTTAATCAGATTTTTTTTAAATCATTAGGCTTCGTCCCAATGCTGAAATTGATTGTTCTAAAAATTTCAAGTTGGTATTGTATACTGTTTTTGATTTATATTTTTTTTGGAATTTTAATCCCCCTTAATCCCCCTTTTTAATCAGATTTTTAAAAATCAATAAGCTTCGTCCCATTGCAGAGCTTGATTTTGAAATAACAAAAGTTATAGAGAATGACATAACAAGTAACTTTTAGTCAAAGAATTTTCTTCCACAATCGTAAATAACAGATATTCCATAAATTAGAAAAATTACCACTTATACAGTACTCCTCCCCCAGATGTTCCGACTATGCCTAAAATCTAATCCGCTCACCGCAGGATGGATTAAAGCTTAAATTTAAAAATTGGTGTTTTTCTCTCTATCCGTCCATGAGTATACAGATACACAGACATCATCGCGAAACTGGTCAAAACGGATACAAGTAACCCTAAAATTTCTATACTTTCCTTATCTGTATACAGACAGGAAAGTAAAAAAACGCAAATTTTAATTAACTTTCGGCAAAAATTAAATTACAAATTTTAGCTATGAAGCTATATTGTCATGAAATTCCTAAAGCCTACCCTGTGTACGCGCTACCTTCAGCTGGCAACCGACTCGTGCTCGAGGCGACGGAACGTTCAGGAATGCCTGCCGCTGACGCACTAGAAACGGCTAGAACGGGCGGAGAGTGCCGTTTAGTCAGAGAAATGGAATGTTCGAGAGCCTCTGGTGTCTTCTAGTAGCAGAGTTGGACTAATATAAATAGCCGACGTATCGGCGCACAGTTTAGTTTTAGTTGAGAGCATTGTAATGAAAAGTTAAAGTGTAATAAATAAATTAGAATTGTTAGTTAGTGTCTAAGTATTATATAAATTAAACAGTACGTCGTAAATAAATTGTAAATAGTGAGTTTTAAATAAACTATAAATAAATTAGACTATCGTTACAATATTATACAAAGTGACTTTAAAATTTCATGTTCTATCAGAAACCGGAATAAAAATAGAGGTATCCCATTTAAAATAAGAAATGTTGACATAAGCGAAAATGACAGAACTATTAAAATAGTTTAGATGGAAAGATTGTCTATTAGTTTGTTAGATATTATATAGTGTGTCCCCCCGTCGTTGGACAGCCTTTATATACATACATTAAATTTATATTAAAATATAAAAAAATAAAAACCTGAACACTCATAGAAGACGACTTATGTTTAAAATACCTGAGAAATTTCATCTGTCGTCCTGGAATTCGGCCATGACAGAGAGTTACTTCTTCTTAGATCAATTTTACATCTGTCAAATCCTCTGATGGCGGTACTGTCTCTCCGCAAAGTGCTATGGGCTATTGATAACCGTTTTTCGGGTGGTAACCTCTTTAGCTCTACGGCCGTTCTCACAGCGTGTTTTAACATTTTTCAAAGCTAAAGAGAAGATTGAATTTTCAAAGAAAATAAGCAGTTAATCGAAAAATGTCTATATGCATACGGAATTCTATTTACGTAGATGTAGATTGTGTTAATATATTTTCCAGGATTGCATTTAATGTTTTATAAAACTAATACAGTATGACCAGAAATATACAATACTGAAGCGAAAATATATATTATCGTGCCTTATCGTGTATGTGATTTGGGTGCGTGATATTTAGTTGGGATGAATTTAAAGGGGTTTTGATAATTTTTATTTTTATTTTTGAATTTTTATTAATAAAATTACGAAATGTTGAGCGCCAGTGAGAAATCTCACAAAAAAATTAAATTATTTAAATAAAAAAAATATTAATTGAGCAACTTTTAAATTTTATCCCCCTTAATTTTCCTCTCTAACCACTTGGTCTGTCGTACACTTTCAGCTATCCGGTCAGCTTGAAGCGTTTCAGAACACAAGTCCCTTCCTGGGTTAGAATACGCTAGTTCGGTGTGATGTCATTTTGGTTCCACTGACATTTAATTGTAACCAAATTTTTAACAAAAACATCAATAAATTTGACATATACGTTTTTACTGTTTTTAGTTTATTTCTAAATATTGTTTATTGATCATAAAAAATAGTTTAAAGGTATGTAATTGGTAACTAAACGATTGTATATTTGATGCATGTTATCTACTTACTTTAGGAATATATTTATAAAAGTGAAAAAACGATATAATTCAGGTAAACAAAACGAACAAAACGCACTCAAAAAATCTTCTGTCACTTTAATTGTCAGTGGAACCATAATTACATCATCACTGAACTAGCGTATTAGGCATTCCAAACTGAATGGCTACCAGTGGGTTTTGACGGGTTATGATATAGCAAAATTATGGCAACCCCGTAGGCCTGGTGATTTGACAAGGTCAATGAAATAGATAGTTACATAGATTGATCATCCATATTTTTCAAAATTAACATAAGCTTATGCCTTGTAGTAAAAATGTAAGCAATTATTTTTTTTTAATGTCTAAAGGCTAAAAATTAGTTTTAAAACACATTTTTTCTAAACCGATTCAAATTAATAAATATTTGCCAGGCAATATGGCCGCTCGTAAACGACCAGCTTTGAGCAATCTATATAACTATATATGTATCATTGACCCTGTTAATGACAACATGACAACAGGGTTGCCATATCTAAACTGTCATTACCCACTGGTAGCCATTTGGACAGGTCGTTGGAATGCCTAATTCAGTCAACGGCCGTATTCTTCTTTATCAACATGGAACACCAGATAGTTCAAAAGAGAAAGAGTAAACACAGAACATATGATTTTATTATAGGAATTGTAAACGAAATAATAAACAATGAATAAAATAAATAAATGAATAATAAAAAAATTAAGTTGAAACAAAATGTACAATTGATATTTAAATTGTATTGGCAGTGCTTTTATTTAAGTTTTGTTTTATTTCTACCGTCTTTTGGTTGGTATGGCTTATTCGTATCTTAAATTAACTTTACCTACTCACGTATGTTGGTTCGTAGAGTTAATTACGTTATTACAGGTAAAAATTTTCTACAAATTATTTGTTTAATTTTTTCCACGTGAGTAGGTCGTTTTGATTGAATGGATTTTTGACTGGATTAGGAGAATTTATCTATTAATGTCATATTTTGGTTACCTAACCTCAAAATTCGAGCAAAAGGTAAATATAAACAAATATTTTTGAACAATTGTGAAATTAAATCATCGTTATGTTTACTAAATTTACGCAAATATGATCATATTTTATAGTAAAGTTTTTATAGGTACCTTGTTAACGAATGGCGATCGCGCACTAGGAGTTTATTCGCCTGATAAAGTCGCTGTGTGTTGAATTCCCGATGTGATGGATTTTTCTGTTTATCTGTGCAGGAAAGCTCGAAATGTTCAAGAAATACACACTATTTCACTATGTTTTACATTATTTAGCGGTAAGTCGAATTTTCGTTATATTTTTGACCTTTTTTTGACCAGTTATCTTCGTTGCTAGGCAACAGTTTCATTTGTTTTTTGATGCAAGAGCCATAGTTATGCAAGAGTTTGCCGGCGTTTTTGCTTTTATTGAAAAGCCATTTCAACGCCAGCTTGACTGAATTTTTGTATTAAATTCTACGCATTTAATACAAGGAAAGTAAAATATATAAATATATTTATTTTTTAAGTTTATAAATGGGGAAATTTTCACTAATTCTATTTACTAATAGTTCATTTAGTGTCCTGGTGAAATTTCAGCACTTAAATTTGGGAATTTCTTGAGATTTTTTGAATAAATTATTCACATTTATAACTTAATTTTGAAAGTTAAAATTTCAAATAATTATTCTGCATATGGTAAATTTGCTGATTATTATTATATTTTGCAATTACAAGTGTTAATTCACATTATTTTAACTTGGGATTTTGAGGTTATATCGTGATTTTCTTTTTATTCTCCTTTTTTAATTAATCTAGTTTTTGGCTCTTTTGTGTTCTAAACCTAGTCTGGTATTCCTATGGTTTAATTTCCTGATCAATTTTTATATTCCTAACTTCAGACTTTCATGAAATCTGCTGATGAAAATTCTTATGGGAAATTACATGTAATATTTTTATTCAAAGAAATTTAGATAAAACGAATTAAATATTGATTTTAATAGTGATTATTATATAGTCTTTGATAAATTCTAACTCTTATTATTATTAGTTTGCAATATTAGCTATTATTTTTGTTGTTCGACTGATTTCGAAAGAGTATTTGTGTTCTACTGTTATAGTTAAAGTTATTTTATATGTGGGTGGACAAATATCACCTATAAATATTAAAGATTTAACAAAAATGACAAAGTTGGTGTCTATTATAATAGCCAATGATATGCTCTATATGCCCACCATTCTGTGGGACGTATAGCTCAAGACGGTCTTGGAGGTTTCGTACCATGCTTTGAAATGTGGATCCATTATTTCTGCCAAACTCGTATGAGCGATTATAAGCTTCACATATAAACATTTTTTCTTCGGTTGTATCTTGTTCACAGTGTTGTATACCCTGACAGATAACAAGTTAGTGTTTGTTCAAAACAAGTTTGACAGCAGTGTCTGATTAGCGTTACAATTTCGGTACTGTATATTTATGGTCATATTGTATTAAAAAGTTAAAACATTTTGTGTAAAAATAAAATAATAACGACTGTAATTAGTAAAAAATAAACAATTTGATTAACTTTTATATATTTTAATTCAAAACTTATTTTACTAAATATATCAATTTTAGACTTTGTACACAGAAGCAAGCTTTCTATTATGTCTCTAGAGCGGAAGTAAATCTAAAGATAAGAGTGGTCAAAATATCCATTTCAATGTTTTTTTGTGTTTGTTTACAAAACAATCGCAATTTTCAAGGATTTGAACATCCCGTGATAATTTTCCGAATACCTTTATGAGAGACATCTTTTAAAATTTAATATTATGTAATAGGCAAGTGAGCGAGTGCTTTATTTTATATTGTAGTCCTAATATAAAAAATAAAAATATACATCAAAATTATGATTGGTCAGGTTTATTTTTATTTTGATTCATCTTTAGTACCTAGCAATAAATTTTAAACAAAGGATTCTAAAATGCTATAAAATGTTAAAAATTATTACTTTTTAAACAAATAAAAATGAATTTTTTGATAAATTTAAGGTCGAACGTGTTACGATATGGCCGTGACATTATAACTTGTCTAAAACAAGCAATAATGAATGGATAACTAAAATTATGATTAAATAAAATTAAACTATGTTAACGAATAATATCTATGTAAAATATACAATGTCAAACTAAAGAGCAGTAGATAAACCTTTATTAACTTTTTAAATAATTTTTTATTGGAGTGAATTATGGTGATACATATACAATGTATAACAGCCAAATGTAATAAATTCAGTAGTTCAATTACTGTGCATAATTATAAAAAATCCCGAAACATGTCAATTTTATATTATAAAATGACATCCTGCAACGTGAAAATTTCACCCCAACTTTCAATTCCCCCAAATTTGTAAAAATGAAGTAGGGGTTTGTGATATCTTGAAAGGTCTCTTCATTCTCTATTCAAAAACAATTTAAATTGCATTCTTCGAGGGTATTAACAAAAAAAATACAAAAAGTTATCAATATTGTTCATAGTTGGCACTCTTAATTTCGTTTCAAACGCCTTCGCAACTTGTTGCGTAATTGTAAGAGCATGACATTAATTGTTGTTAGTGTTGTGTTATTTAGGATTTATTAACAGCAGATCAGAAACATGGTTTACTTAACAGAAATGCATAAAATAACAATTTTACAAATGACTGGTTACGGATATAAAACACGAACACAGGTCGAATTTGTTCGCCTATTTCAAGAAAAATTATCGATCACTTTGGGAATCCCTGATTTAAATAATAGAATCGAATCTTAAAAGGTGATAAAATAACATCAATTTGTCAACAAACAGCATAATCTAAGGAAGCACGCCTGGCGCAGGCGTTTGTTGAAAATTTGAGATCATTACGTTACCGTTTAAGATTTGGATTATTTTGGATATAACAATTCGAACATCTAATGTCCTGATGACCGAGTTGATAAGGCAACAAGCGTGAAACTCGGATGTGGACGGTTCGAATTCTTCCCAGAACTAATTGTTTTAAATTTTTTATCACTTTGGGCAGAGTTGGGTAGTATCCGGATACTTCTGTTTCCGGATACTTTATCTGTATCCGAAAGGTGTATCCGGATACTTTTCAAATTTTGTATCCGGTATCCGTGACCAAATTTGTAAGTGTCCGGATACCAGATACTTTTTTCGTCATTCGGATACTTTTAAATTATTTACCACAATCGTAACTGATCCAATCCATATTATCTCTATTAAAATATACAATCGAATTTTTTTGATCTACCCTGTATAATTAAAAATAAAATACGTATTTTTCAATATTACAATA